ATACTAAATTTAAAAACTATAATTAGTATTTATTCATATATTATATTTTAAAATCAAAGAACTACTAATCAGGATATAATTAAAGAAATAAGAGTTCATGTTGCTTTTAAAATATTTCACCAATTTCTCTAAAGGAAACACTATCTACAGATTTGCATCGAAGCGTTTCTTATGATAGTGATTTTAATCACTGTCAGATATCATCTATACTTGTCCCATCTATGCCTCGTCCACACTGTGCCTCGACCCCACTGTGCTACCGTTTTTTATATGTACATACAAATAGAAGATTTGGACGATATTGCGATGTAATATTAGTGAAAGAAATACCTATTAAAAATTTTAAATTGTTGTTAAACAATAAGAAAATGCTCAATAATACAATAATAAATATATAATTTATTATAACAAAGTAAAAATAAATAATGAAATTTTAATTAATTGATGATTAATCATCAAAAATACAGTAAAGTGTATTCTTATTATAAAATTTGAGCTATATTGTGAAAATAAACATTATTTTGCACATTAAACGAGTCGTACAGCTATAAAAAAAGGTATATCAAATTTTTTTTAGTTTTACTCTCTCTTAACAAATTATTATATGATGGGAAAAATCAAAATTACAAAAAAAATTTTTTTGTCCTGCATTATTTTGAAACTAAATGAAACAAATATTCTATTATCTATCACACATCTTATGCAAATTTCTGCTTATTATTTTATATCGATTCACTACTTTCTTCTTTTGAATGGTTTAGGTGAGCATTTTGCCGTGCTTCGTACAAAAAATGGTAACGTAAATGTGCTTGATGCATATTGTCCACATCTAGGAGCTAACATGGCAATAGGAGGCACTGTTACTGGAAATAAACTTCAATGTCCATTTCATGGTTGGACATTTGATACTAATAGTGGAAAATGTATTCAAATAACAACTAATTGCCTTCATAATACAGAAAATAAAAGTATACATTTACAATTGCTTATCTTTTTTTTATTTTTTATCGACTTTTATTTTGAATATTTTGCTTATGCAATTGTTTAAAATTAAAATTTTATTATATATATCAATTGTGGTTCTAAGGGAATCTAAGCCTCGATTAGCATAGTTAACTATCAAAGTATTCTATTACTTAAAACTGTTTAAAATATTTTATTTAATAGTTTTTTCAAATGTATCGGTACGAAAGTGGAAATCATGCGAAGCTTATGGTTTTATATTTGTTTGGTATCACGCTGAAAACGAACAACCTGATTGGAACCCTCCAAGAATTGACTTAACCAAATTAATTTATCAAGGTCGAACAGAACATTATGCCAATGTTCATATACAAGATGTAGCAGAAAATGGTGCAGATCCCTCTCATTTCACAGAAGTACATAGCAAATTGATTGGAGGGTTTTACTCATTTCCTAAATCATTATTGAATTACATTGGAGTTCATCAATGGGCATCTACATGGATACCTGATGAATCAAAACGCTACATCTCACACGTTGAAATAAATTATAATTTTAAACTACTGAAAAAGTTTAACATATTTCAATTAAAGATTAATGCAAACCAGGTGAATTGAATTTAAAATAGTAATTAAATAATTTCAGTTGAACATTCTAGTTTTTAGTGTAATAAAATTGCTTTGTTAATTTTAAAGGAATTAATCCTCTTGAATTACGTTATCATCGATAAAATTAAATTAAATTAATCATTGGAGTAAAGAGTCGAATAAAGAAAAACTTAAGAGAATAGATTAAGTTTAGTAGTAAAAATAATGCAACATAGTGTTTTTTTTTAATACTAGTCTCTCAATTTCTCTTAAAATAATGTTTTTTGAACAGTTTTTTTTTGGTTTTTGATAGTGACATATGTATAACCATTTACTTTTTATAAAATAATTTTTAGGTCCATTCTTTATATTGCATTCTTTAAAATAGGGGTGTCAACTTTATTTTTTTAAATGACAGCATACATATTAAACTAGCTTATAAAATATAAAATTATCTAATTAAGAAAATGACTGGTCGATAACAACATTTGAACAAGTATTTTAGAAGTTGTGAACAATTTAAAGTATTGACTGGAGGTGACGAGTGGGTACTATTTTTATCATTAATCATTTCCCAATCGTACTTTTCCTCCCGCTAAGGTATAAAAATGGAAATATCTTTCGAATAACTGGTCCAAAAGTTGATATTGATTATAAAATTTAAATAAGATTTAAGTGTTGTTAAATAAAAATATTTTTTGGGAGTTTCTATAATGGTTCTCTCTATACCAAATACCCTCGACCGTACTGTTATTTTTACCTTAATCTATGTAGTCAACAATGAATATTATTAATGAAACTATAAATATTTATTATTTAGTAATTAATAAAATTTAACATATTTGTCATTTAATTTTATTTATTTATTAGATTGGTCCTGGTTTGGTTATTTTAAAAATTCAAAATATATTTGGAAACATCATATTAATTCAAACTGTTACGCCAGTTGAACCTTTAATCCAAAAAATAGTGCATCGCGTTTATAGCCCTTTGCATCAATCACTGTTTGGACGCGCAATTCTTTTCTATGAAAAAACTATGGTATGTATGGAAACAGTTATAAAAAATAATTTCTATTGGATAACATTAATAAACCTATAGTCAATTATTTGTTAAATGATCACTAATTATTTTAGCTGGAAAGAGATATACGTATATGGAATCATAAAAGTTTTGTGGAAAAACCTTTAATTACTAAACAAGAATCAATGATCAGAGTTTACCGTGAGTGGTACAAACAATATTACAGTTGTAATAGTCGACATTTTAGTTTTAAAAAAGAAACAATGACTTGGTAACTAATAAGATAAGTAAAATGTAAGGTGTTATAAACATTTACAAATTGTTAATGTTATTAAATTTTGGATTAAAAATATTATACTTAAATAACAGAAAAATTAATAATGTTTGATTAACTATGGCTTAACGAAGGCATCGTTTACTAATGTACTAATTATATTACTGTTTAATAATTACTTCAAAAAGCATTGCAATAAATAAAATATTGGTTGTGTAACGAATTTACAAATATGTATTAAAATATATTTTAAATAAACAAATTGTTTAAGGTTAATCAATGTATAAAAAAACTAAAAGTTTGACCAAAATTAAAAAAAAATTATTTTAATTGTGTATCACTTAATACACAAATGGTATTATAGCATGCTGTTTGAATAAATAAATAATTTTTTTTTTTAATGAACACATACATTCTTAATTTTGTCTAGTAGTAATAAATTATTTACCCAATTAAAATCGTAGTTCTAATATATAAGTTTTACTGGAGAATTAAGTTTTTTTCACGCAATGTTTATTTAAAATTGAGTACATTAAAGACTTTTTTACGCTTAAAATCAGTATACTAATTCCACTTATAATTAACAATATAAATCCTTAAAAAAATTAGATTAAAATAAAATAACTATTGTATTATTTCAACCTAATTTTTTTCATGTAACTACATGACAAATTATATTTAACGTACCATCCAAAATTGAGCTAAATATAACTTGTTGATGTTATCATTTATATAATACTATTTTTTTGGTTTCATTAATCATGAAAAATCATCAATTATCAATTTACTAAAAACGTAATTCTTTATACCTAAATAATTATAATTATTTGTACAGGTGGTCCACGTTGTTTTAACAAATATAATAACTTTTGATGTACTAAATATTACATTAGTTATTATGTCAATAATTTTTACAGTATTGGAATATGTTAATAAAAGCATTACTTTTTATTATTATTTTTTTATTTTCAAAACAGTCATTCCTTTAGTAACAAAAAAATTGAATGAGTTAATAAAAATTCTAAAATAAGAACTTATTAAATTATAAGCGTTTTTAGTACATAGAGTGGCTTCCATTACACAGAGGACTATTGTAAATTTTAGAGACTCTTAATGCCTTCATCATAGTCCAATGCTGACATAAAATCAGCAATGCAAATAAATTAAAATAAATGTTGTTGGAAAATAAAGGAAAAATCTTCAAAATGTGGGAATTTTTAATAAAAAAATGTCCTAAATGGAAAATTTGGAATATATTGTTACAATATTTAACACTGATGCCTACTATCACTTTACAAAGTAAAATATTCACGAAAAAATTCAATTTTTTAGAAATTTTAAAGTGCTCTATAAATTTAACCAAACAATATTAAAAAAAACTTGACTACGAAATTTTTTATTAAAATTCATTAAATAAAATAACTGCATTAAAATTTTTTAAATATTATACTAAAATTAAAAAAAAAAAAAATTAATTTTAGTAAAAATTTAGATAGAATAATTTTTTCTACTTCAAGAAAACAGATAAAGAAAATACATAGTTATACAAATCATCAATTTTCTTTTTGTATTTGTCGATTAATTAATATTTTTATATTTATAGTAAATAAATTGGGTGCAAGTTCATGAAACTATGGTGGTGTTGGTTCTATAATATTAACAAATTTTTAAGTAATTTTGAAAGAAAATTTTCAACTCATTGGTGTTATTTTAAATTTGTTTAAGATAAAAATGAATTTTATCAAATTTTATTGTGTATTAAATCATCAAATTAACTTAAATTATACATGTAAAAAACTTTTGTAAGTCCTTACAAACTTTTTTTATAGATTAATAGTTTTTTTAAGTTAAATGCAAGCAAAATGTGTTTTCAGTAGTTTATAATATAACTATTTTAATTTTCGTAAAAGTTGCTATATGAAATATTTTTAATTAAAAACTATGCAAAGATAGTTAATAGTTTATTATATAGGTGAAATTTCAAAACATACATTTTTTATAAACTTTAATGTTTAACAATAAAATTTATGTTTTATCGTTTTATTGACTTAGTCTCTTTTACTAGCCACTTGAGGGCTCTTTCATCTCCGGATTGTTGTAAAAGTGGTTTCAATACTTCTAAACATTTCTTATGATAGTCATTTAAATAACTTATCTATAAAATTTAAAATTTGTAACATAACAAATTTAGTAATAGAAAATAGTAATAAGAAAAATTTACCTCTTCATCTGTGAGTAAATCAATAACTAACATTTTTGTTTGAATTGGACACATAGTTACAGTTTCAAACTGCAAAAATGGTCTATGTGGCATTTTATAGTTAGTTGTTCCGTCTTTTATGAATACAATATCTTCAATGCGTATTCCAAACTCTTCTTCATAATATCCAGGTTCTAGTTAATCAAAAAATTAATAACTGCTATCAAACAGAATTTTTTATACAAAAATATTAATCATAGTGCAAGAGGGTTATATCTCCAAAAAAGTAATTTTTAAATGAGAAAACTTCAAAAGTTTGATATATCATATAAGTGATATTGAGTGTTACTTTGTTTTAAGCATTAATATTAAGCTAAAGCTAATTTATATAAAAAAATAATAAACCATGTTGAATTATATAAAAAGTCAAATATCGTGAATTTATGGCCTCATATTACTGTTAAAGTGTGATATACCTAACAACATAAAAATTATTCCTATTAATATTAGGTGAAATAAAAATTTTTGATAAATCAATCAATCTTTAAGATTCGTTAAAACTTATCCTCAAACTAATAATGGCATCAAATTTATTTTGTTTAATAGCAACAATCATATTTAAATCATGTTTACTAGTTGAAAAATTAATCTAATTAAGAAAATTCTAAGTATTCAACAACTTTTGAACAATAATTCTGTAGCGACCAAAACATACGCAACGAATATTCTCGAATGTTCTCGTTATCAAAAACCTTCGAGAAACTTCGATAACGCCATAAGATAACCTACGCGGGTATAGAATATTCTAGAATTAGCGAGAGCCTTATCGGAGCTATATATATATCGGAAGAATCAGTCAGTTCAGTTAGTTCAGTTCAGACTGTCTAGTCCGCGATACGCTACACGACCGCTACACCCCGCCGCTGTTGTCATCGTGTATTATGTTTACTTCGATTATTTTATTTTTCCTTACTGTATATACATATATTTTCTTTTAGTGTTTATACGTCTATTTTAGTGTTATAATTTTGTTTAATAAAAGTCTACCGCCATTTAAATAATTGTGTGTTGTAAGATATAACCCACAATTCTGAAAAATATAAATAATTTTATGACTGGGAAAAAGGGGATATACTAATATTTTACAATTAAATGTATTTGTAATTATTTAAATAAATAAAATTTACAACCTTATAATGTATAAGAGATAAAAGAGATTTTTCTTTGTACCTGAAAAATCTTAAAGTTGATTAACCAAAAATTATATGTAACTAAAAATTCCAAAAATGTGAGCATTTATTTTTATTGAAGTAAATCTACCTAAAGAAATATATATTCTGAAAACATCAAACATAAAATTTATTACCGTTAGACAAAAACATGCCAGGTTGCAAGCCAGGATCATTAGGTATTTCTCTCCAAGATATTCCCATAGGCCCTTCATGAACATTTAAATAAGCACCAATACCATGCCCAGTACCATGCATGTAATCTAATCCAACATCCCATAAGAATCTGCGAGCATACGAATCTAAACAATTGCCCTAAAAATTATTTTTCAATTATAACATACAAACATTTAAAAATATTAAGAACAATTTTTTATAATATTTAATTTGTACAAGTTATAGAATACCAGCATCAGAGCAAGGCTTAGATCCACCTTAACTTTCTTCGGCCTATATGTACAAATTTTGTGGGAGAGGATACTATTAGCCTTCCCAAAAATGTTGGCCTAAGTTTAGTTTACCTTCTAGTAAGAGTTCTGGTGCTGCCACTATTATAATATTTTTAGGAATTAATAATTTATTTTAATAAAAGTTATCAATATATTAGCTTTGATACGAAGCTGAGAAGGTATTGGTTTTACTAAGATGTGTTTTTTTTTTTTTTTTTGTGTCTGTTACCACTTTTTCTCAGCACTCACCGAACGGATTTCTTTCAACGATACGTCAAAAGATCACAAATCGTATCTAGTCGAAGACATTACCCTTAAAAATTGAAAAAATTTCCCTCGTTCCACGTAAATGGGGGAAACCTCCAAAAAAATTATAAATTTAAAAATCACTAATTTTCGAAATTTTTTCAATTTTTTTTACTAAAAACTGCCGCAACTTTTTCAAAAATGAACATATCAATATAATTTTTTTTTTATAGATGCTTGATGTCTTTACTTATCATTTGGTATATTTTTTTTGTAAATTTGACCTTTTTTCTGCCCACAGGGGGGAATTTAAAATGACAACTTTTTCACAAAAAATTAACTTTTTCAACTTAACTTTTGAAAATGTTCCGGAAGGTCTGACACTTTTATATATATCTTAAATTAAAGCTAATGTAATGTACTTTTAGATGAAAAAAAAAAATTTGACCTCTGGACTTGTCTTCATGGTGAAAACGACTACCGAATGCTATTATTGTGTGAAAATTNGCTACCGAATGCTATTATCGTGTGAAAATTTTCGATTTTATTATTTATATTATATTTAACTTTATAATGCTATAACTTATTGAAAAGTTTATGGATCCACACAATTTTTTTATGAGAAATAATATTTTTTAATAAACCTTTTTTCATTCGACATACTTTATCTTAATCGAGATATTAATAAGGAACCAGTAGATCAAGTAGCTTTTGGAATAAAACACCAATTTTTTTAAAATTAAACACTATCTAAAGATTTGCATCGAAGCGTTTATTTTTGATAGTGATTTTAATTACTGTCAGATATCATTATACTTGATCCAACTATGCACGTCACCACTGTGCCGCGACCCCCCTGTGCTGGGTTTTTTTTTTAATTTTATATAATTAAATTTTATGAAAAATAACACATAACTTATAAATTAGTATAAACTAATTACAAACAAAAAATTTGTATATGAAATTAAACTCACTAAAATCTTATGAGGAAATTTAGACATGGCTAGGTTAGCTTGACCTTTGAAAACTCTAGTAAAGCATTCCCTTTGATACTCACTTGGTTTACCAAAATGGAATGTCCTCGTTACATCAGTTGTGCCATCTCTAAAAAATCAAAAACTTATTAAAATTTAGATCTATTAATATATAATGGTTGGAACATACCTAACTGACAACATTTTATAGCTTTTAACCAATAATAATTTTGCTGAAATTCTTTTTTTTTTTAAACAATTTTTGCATTTTTAAATTATTTTAAAAAAATATTTATATTATTTGTTTTTAATAAGAAAAAATTAAAATTAAATATATATTTTTTAATTTTTTCAAAATTTAAAAATAGGCATTTTTTTATACAAGTATGAGATGACCCAGCTGCACTACATGCTCATTCTATGTATATTAAATAAAATGATTACAACTTAATAAGTACTTGTTCTAATATTTTATCAAAAAAACAAAATTTAAAAATAATTACAATTTTTTTTTTATATAGACGAATAATAAAAAAATGTTCTTATAATGTAGTTTAAGAATGCAAAAATTGTTTAAAAATATTATATCAAATATAAACAATTTTTGTTGAACAAAGATATAATAAATAAATAAATATATACAAATACAAACAAATAAAATGCGCACTTACAAAAACTGACCGCCAGAATCACACAAATACATTTCATCAATGCTCAATTTTCTATCTGTTTCTGGAGTAGGAGCATAATGTATGATTCCACTATTAGGACCAGAAGAAGATATAGTTTCAAAACTCAATCCCACAAAATTTTCTTGTTGACTATTTAAAAACAGAAAGAGTAGAGTTTTAAGTAATGAAAGACAAACAGAATAGCAATAAATATTTCCATAGGTAGACTAAAAAAAATATTTGAATTTACAACAATACCTGATTGCATTATGGCTACATTTATAATAGTAATGAATTTGACGTATAAGTTAAAATAGACTAAATTATTGAAAATTTATTTTTATAAACAAAATTTTTTGAATTGGTTCATAATAATTTATATAAAACATTTTTTCTAATTTGTTTTGAAAATTCATTTGTTATTTTAAGACAAGATGTGAGCATTATGTTTACTCAGTAAAAAAGCCACTTGCAGGCCTGAATAAATAAATATATTCATGGACTCAACACAAGATAAAAAAAAATTTGTATGTCTTGTACTACTCATAGGCTTTTTGTGACCGGGTTAGTATGTTAGACAAAATGAAAAGATATTGGATTTGAATATTAATTGCAATTTATTGTATTTAAATATATATTTACACCTATAAATGTTTTTACGACTTTAACAAGTTAATACTTAATAATACAAAAGTGAATTAACATAAAAGATTCAGTGGAGATTCATCCAGGTTCAACCCTATCAACTATATGACTCTTGAACGAGTAGATGATGATTACCGGTGCGTTGCTTCAGACGGTGGCCATAGGCCCTATACAAAAAAGCCTAAGTAAGCATTGAATGTTCTAGAAGGACTAGATGCTTGATTGGTTAATAATTTATATACATGAAAAAGGGACTTCCATTCTCACAATTAGTATATTATATTATATTACACAATTACAATTAGGCAGCAAAAAGTCAGTTCACATCAGATTGATTAAATGAATTTTTTTTGTAAATTTTTAACAATTATATTATAATTTAAAAAACTGTTACTGTTAGTATTTATCATTATAACAATATGATTATATCTGCTATTACTAATAGTTGAAGACTGTTTAGATTACTTTAATGTAGTTAATATAAATACCTTCTAAATGATAGTAATTTTTCAGCAGCTGATAATTCAGTTAAATTTCCTTGTGATATGTTTTCTTCTAGCCAAGCAAAATATGAACATAAAGCAGCACCATCTTTTATATGAGCATTTATTAAACCTTAAATAATCTTGAGTAAGTTACATACACAATTTTAAATTTGAAGCTAATGATTCAAAAAGTAATAAAATAAATTACCTTTTATTTCTACAGCATTTTTTATGGCTTTCATTAGTGGAATTGGAGTAGGCTTAGATACACGGTTACACTTTGGAACAATTGTAACTAGATTATAACTGGACTTATCTGATACCCAAACTTTACCAGTTTTACTACTATCAGATGCCAACTGAAATTTAAAAAACTTCTAATTATATAGGTAGTATTATTTATTTTTGGTGATATTATTTAAAAAATAAAATTATTATTTCAGTTCTTGAAATTGAATTTTAAATAGTATAGAGCATCTGTATGGCCTTAAAACTATTTAGATATTGATTAATTTTAGAAATACAACAACAAATTAGTAGAACATTATTTTAATTAAGTTTAATAAAATAATTAAATTTAAATACTGTCTATGTAGGTTTTATTTTGCATTATTGTTATAAAATTAGTCACTTTGAAAAGTAATTAATTTTATTTCTTTATTAAAAACTCATTAAAATAAAGAATACTTACTATGTCATTAAAAAAAGTACGTATTGTTTCATATGAGTGAATATTTACTAACAAATTTTCATTAATAAAATGTTCTGGTACTGATTTATCAAGTTTTTTTTCATCAATAAACAAATGGACATCTGTATGTGTGACTACTACATATGAATAGAATACTGGATTGTAAGTAATATCTGATCCCCTTAAATTAAGTAACCCTATAATTATATGAATAAAATAATTATTATTAAATACTAAAAGTTGATAGAAAAAAGTACTAAATAGAAATTTGGAAAGGAGTAAATTTTGTATCCATCTTAATATTTGCATAAAAATGGTAATTTAAGTAATAATTGTGAAAATATAAGTATTAATATTTCTGATATTTAAATGTAACTTCGATTATTAGAGCAAGTACCCTGAGAATGCTATAACTATGTAAGATATAAAATTTTACAATTAGAATGCTTAGTTAAAAATATATGGGTAATATATAAGTTTAATTTACTGGGCACCCTTTTTTTTTAAATAATTAGTATTTTAGTATAGATTAAGACTATTTCAAAATTTTTGAACTGAAAAAGCAAATAGTTTAAAAGTTACAGCATTACAAAGTTTTAACCAAATGCTGTACAAAATCGTGTATTTTATTATCTCATGTTAATAGATTACCAACAAGTTTTTGTTTTTCTGAACTCATAATCGTTGTTAGTAAAACATATAAATTTAGGAAATCATATATTTATAGGTACAACTAATTAAAAATGAATTGTACTACATCGTTTATGATATTGTGTACCATGACTTTAACATTGAAGCATTCAAACCAAACCCAACTAAACTATTAGGCACACTCAATGCACTAGTATCATTAACGTTAAGTTAAATTTTTAAGTTAAGTTAAATAATAGTTCTAACTATTATAACAATTATTGTTGATCATAATTTCTATTAAAATTAATAACAGTGTTTTGTCATATTATGTGTCAGTTCGAACTTTTTGGTTCACTGTACCTTTCAGTTCAATGACTTTAAATGAGTTGGAATTAGACTAGAGTTCCATTACTCTGGTGATTTGGAGACATGAGTCCCCTTAGCACAAGAGTTCTGTAAGGGTTCAAAACAGTCACCAGACGTAGGTTGATCCTCCTTTATTTGTTTTACTTTTTTTGCAGTTGTTTTTCAATTTTTTATTTTATTTATTTTTATTAAATACAGTAGAACCTCATTAATCCAGACTAATAAGGGCTCTAGGTTGTCCGATTTAATGAAAGTCCGGATTAAACAAAATAACCAAAAAACATGTCCGTATTATAGATTTAAGAATATTATATTATACTAAATACTATGTATGATATAATATATATATATATATATATATATATTGCAACATGATATTAGATCCAGCAAAAACATTACACATTTAATGTGGATAGAATTATGTATATATATAATAATGACCAAAATATAAATTACTAATACATAGTTTATGATAACTTTAATGACGGTAGATAAGAATATATGTACTTATGGGAAATTCAAGGAACTTGCCTTTATGTTTATTTTAGTCTACGGCATAAACTGTGTATTTTTCGTAATATTAGATAGCTGTCCAGATTAAGCGAAGTCCGGATTAATGAGGTTCTACTGTAATAATAAAAAAGAGGTACTATTTCTACATCATGCTCGGTTTTGTATTTAATTTTATGAAAAATGTGTAATTTACAATAATTTTTTATTATTTTAGAAGTATTTTTGGTTTGACAATTTGGCAGATTTAATAAAAAAGGGTGCCCCGTGAAATAGATTTTTTTAAATATATGAATATAATATACAGACAAGTTTTTGCAGCTTGAGATCGCTGTAGCAATTACTTAGGTTGCTATACTAATTAACAAATGATCAGCACAATATTTATTGAACATTTTGTACTTGAAGAAAATTATAAATAGAATGATATTTGGTGTCTTTCAAAATTCTGAAAGTATTTTATAAAATCTTACAAGCAATTTCATCAAGTGCAGTAATTAACAGAATAGTAGCATTTTTTTCAGTCATTTTTTGTCGAACTTCTTCTACTTTTTCACCACATTTTTTTCCTATAAAAAACATTTACTTCATAAAGGTGTATTAAATTAATCATTGCCAACAGTTAAATTATTACCAGTATATTGAATATTTAAAGGTTTTACTGGATTTGATGGAACTTCTGGGCGAGTCGACCACATAAGGTCTATAAGATTGGTTTCAAGAGGAACTAAATTAATTCCCTTGTACTTAATTTCTTTATTAATTCTCCTCCATTCACTGTAAGTAATTAAATTAGCATCAACACCTATTCTGGAACCAGATTTCATGTTTTTTGATAACCATTCAGATAGAGTAGGGGTATCAGGTAATCCTAAAATTAAATGAAAATCATTTACATATTTCAGTTTTTATTTTAAACTAGAATAGCTCATTAAAAAATATTGAAATTAAATTAAAATTACAAATTTATTAGACATAAAGATAAAATAAATATTTTTTCTAAATATTATTTAAAAGTACCCAATAAAATATATACTTTAAATTTTGTAATTTAAGTTACCAAGTATACTTGGTATAGTATACTTTAAAAATAAAATCTATCTAGTCCTTTACCAAAGTTTATCTTGCTATTTTTATAATAAATTCTAGGAAAAAAGAGCTAATTATGGCTAAATAATAATTTAAAAGTAATTAAATATAGATATGTTTCTCAGTTTTTATGGGAAAAATACCAAAAATTAGATGTGTAATAATAATTATAGTACAGTAATTTTATAGCTAAGTTCTATTACCTAAGATGTTAAAACTTTATTAATAAAAATAAAAAAGTTCAAATTACTAACCCATTTTCATTAATGTCCAGTTTTCATCTAGCTGTTGACTAGCTTGTACAAAATATCGTCCATCAGTCCAAAGTAATGCTTCATTTTGTGTAATGAGAGCTACGCCTGCAGAACCTGTAAAACCAGTAATGTATGCTCGACGGCCATCACATGGAGCAATATATTCATTCTGAAAAAAATTGAAATATTTTCATAAAATTATAATTTTTGAAGTTACAAAAGTACGAAAATATGATAAGGTGACTTGCATGTATGCTAGTAATCCTGCTATCAAAATATTTATTTTATCACAATTATTCTACAAAAATATTAATATATGTAAAAAGTTCTGTTAACAAAGAACGTTAATACATATGACAAGAGTATTATTTATTTTTTTTAAATTAATAAAATAACCAAAGAAAAAAAAATGTTGGAAGAAAAAATCATGGTTGAAAAATCTACAAAATTAGTTTGGTATAACATCAAATAAATTATTTTATACAATATTAAAAAGAAAAAAAAAGTATTAATTAAAATTTCCAACATCTGAAATGAATAGAAATAAGAAAAACTTTTATTATCAAAGTTTTAAACATAAAAATGTGTTCCTAAAGAAAATTTTATACTAGTAATAAATGATAGTTTTTAAAAATTAATGTCACTTCTTGTAATTATCACAATTTATAATAAAATTAATTTGAAATAAAAACAGGAAAATCATAAAGGCAAATATTAAATCTTTGAGTCACCCTAATAATTATAGTTTTGATTAGTGAAAACAATTTTAAAATTTTTCTACTTTTCTAGTAATTATTTTACAAAATCATTTTTTGAAATTTTCTTTTTAATAAAAGCTTAAGATTTATTAATATGTAATTTTGTATACTTGATGTGCATCTTCTGACAAAACAATATATCCCTGCATTGTATCCCCTAAATACTTCATTTTAAGTAATTCACGAAATTTTATTAACAAGTGTCCTGTACGATTAGCCATGGTACTGTAATTTAAAATAATAACAAAATATAAGTAAAATATATTTATAAAAAACAAAATATTCATTTTTAAGTAGAATACAATATTTAGGTATAGGTAATAAGTTACAATAGGTAACTTAGTTACAAAATAACTAAGTTATTAAATGTACTAATAGGTTTTAAAATTTTAAGTCATAATGTTTAGTACATATTACTTAACTAATTTCTAAAAATGTTAGTTATTTACATAGATAAATATTATTTAGATAACATATTTATAAATATTAGATTAGTAATTTTCTTTTCTTTAAATAATAATTTGTATATTACCATAAATTAAACTCTTATCCTAATATAAAATTAAGGCAAGAATTTGTAAAATTAAAAATGGTATTTTATTTTATTTCATTAAATTAATGTGTAAAATTAAAGTATAGTTCTAATAATGAAAATCAAACCTTTTTTATTATAAACAGTTCGTTAAATAAGTTGTATCTTTATTTTCCAAAATAAATAAAAGTTGTCTTTTCAAACAATAAATAAAGTGTTTGAACATTAATATTAGTCCAAGAAAAACAGTTTAATCGAACACATAAGTTAACAATAATTATGTCTTATCTTTACAATTCCCTTTATCTCAATTTATAATTTACCCCACTTCACTTTCGTACTAAAAAAGACAATAATTTAGCACTTAGTAAAGTATCATAGAGTAGATTACAGCTGACCTCATTGTTTGACATAATAATTTTCGCTTAGTGTACTCTACGACAATGGCATTGTTGTTATATTTTTAAATAGTTATCCTCAGAAACAAATATATTTGTAGTATTAATGTAAATTATTAAGACTATACATAGATTCGATGTAGAGATCCTTCATATCATCAAAGCTTAATGTTCTGAAATAATAATGATTCATCTTATTATCGACAGTATTATATTTTGGAGGGGTTATCATATCATAATACGTTTTAATTACAAGTTATAGATCATTAAATGTCTGGATTCGAACTAAACAAATGCTGAGGAAATATATATATATATATATATATATATCCCACTGTGATTTACTAAATTGGCTATATAAACTAATATTAAATTGATAAATTACGATAAGACATCTATATAAATATGGATTTAGCAGCCCTAAATCAATTAAAAGTGCATGATGTTTTAATTTTTTAAGTTTTTTTAATTTTATTATATACTTGAATTTAGGGGGAACATTTTTGACTAAAAATTCGATTTAATTTAATTATGGCTTTTAATTATATATATTATTTAATAAATTATTTTTCTATGTTTGAGAAATGTGCTACTTAGGCATTTAAATTTTAAATGCTCTAAACCAACAATAATTGTTCAATTTAAGGTTACATAAAGTAGTTGTTATAGATAGGGATGAGGAAAAACCATTGAATTTAATCAATTTAAAGATTATAAAAAACGGTTGTTTGAAAAATCATCCAAAACCACTAAAAAATTATATTGTTTCCAGAAGTTTTAAAAAAATTATTTAGTAAGTAGTTTAATATTTGAGTAGATCGTAACAATTAGTGTGAGACGAAAGTGATAAATGATCTATGGTGTGACGCGCATGCTCAGTGTTAGTTGAATACCAAGCAATGAGTGTACCATTCATGGTCATATTATCTTGGTTGACCACTTACCACTATAATGACAACACTACAGGTTATAAGATAAAGAAATTTCATTTTAATTGTGTTCCGTTTGAACTGTATTAAATACAATGAATGTCTCGTCTCATTTTAAATACTATATAATTTAAAGAACGTGCAGTGTCATAATATTCTAAGGCCGACCGTGCTGAATCTGGAATCCAGGTAAATATATTACTTTTGTAAAATTCTATTGTCTCAATGAGGTTAGGCGTTTATGGTACAATAACAATCGATTTGATTACAAAATATAAGCAGCAAGCACTATGTTTATATGCGCGTGACTACATGTGTACATCAGTGTATGTATTTTTTTAATAAAAGTGGGATCAAGTCCACTAAGATCGTTGTCGGCCTTCGAAATACTTGCTAAATTATATTTCCGTCGTTAATTATCACACTTTAGTATACGATGTGTTTATGTAATGTATATAAATTTAATAATTTATCATTAGTAAAAAAGTGATTTTTTATTAGTGATACACGAATATCAAAATGGCTGAGAACAAAAACAGCAATAGCCAACAGCAACCTATTGTCAAAATAGGACATTACATTCTTGGACAAACACTTGGTGTTGGTACATTTGGCAAAGTAAAAATTGGTGAACATCAATTAACTAAACACAAGGTAGCAGTAAAAATTCTTAACAGACAAAAAATTAAAAGTCTTGATGTGGTAGGGAAAATACGTAGAGAAATTCAAAATCTGAAACTTTTTCGTCATCCTCATATTATTAAATTATATCAAGTTATTAGTACCCCAACTGATATATTTATGATTATGGAATATGTGTCTGGTGGTGAACTATTTGACTATATTGTCAAGCATGGAAAACTTAAAGAGTTTGAAGCACGACGCTTTTTTCAACAAATAATATCAGGTGTTGATTATTGTCACAGACATATGATTGTACATAGAGATCTAAAACCAGAAAACCTATTATTAGATCATAATTTACATGTAAAAATTGCTGATTTTGGTTTGTCTAATATGATGATGGATGGAGAATTTTTAAGGACAAGTTGTGGATCTCCTAATTATGCTGCTCCAGAAGTAATTTCTGGTAAATTATATGCTGGACCTGAAGTAGATATATGGTCATGTGGAGTTATATTATATGCATTATTGTGTGGTTCATTACCTTTTGATGATGAACATGTCCCTACACTATTTAGAAAAATCAAATCTGGTATATTTCCAATTCCAGATTATTTAAATAAATCTGTCGTAAGCTTATTATGTCATATGTTACAAGTAGATCCAATGAAAAGAGCTTCCATAGAAGATATTAAAAAACATGAGTGGTTTCAGCATGAACTACCAGCATATTTATTCCCTTCTCCAGTTGATAGAGATTCTTCAGTTATAGATACTGATGCTGTAAACGAAGTTTGTGAAAAATTTAGTGTTAAAGAAACAGAAGTTCATAATGCTCTGCTGAGTGGTGATCCTCATGATCAATTAGGAATTGCATATCACTTAATTATTGATAATAAACGCATTGCTGATGAGGCAGCTAAAGCAGAGTTAAAAGATTTTTATATTGCTAGTAGTCCTCCACCAACAATTGGAAGTCCTGATGTATCATCTTCATCATCAAAGCCTCATCCTGAACGTTTAATGTCACATAGAGAACGTGCTCAATCTATAGATCAAAATACTAGAGGATCACCAATGAAAAGAGCAAAATGGCATTTAGGAATTAGATCTCAAAGCAGACCTATTGATATAATGAATGAAGTCTATAGAGCAATGAAAGCATTAAATTTTCAATGGAAAGTAATCAATCCTTATCATATTCAAGTAAGGCACATGAACCCTAAAACTGACAATTATACAATGATCTCACTTCAATTATATCAAGTGGATTACAAAAGCTATTTATTAGATTTTAAGAGCTTAACTAATGATCAACTAGAGAATGGTAACTTGTCAAATGTAACAGAAATTGATAATCTATCATTACGTCCTGAAATGGTTCAACCTCCTAAAAAATATATAGGCCATCATACTATGGAATTTTTTGAAATGTGTGCAGCTTTAATTACTCAGCTTGCTCATTAGACTAGATTTAAATTTTTTTATCCTTAATAATCTATTATAAATACATAATTACTATAGAAATTTTCGGATGTAATTTTATACTTAGAAAATGATATAAATTCAACCATTTTTTGCATAATAAGTATTTAAAATAATAGAATGAGATTTTAATTTTTAAACTGTTTATTGAAATAATTGAAAAATGTATATTTGTGTTTATTTATTACTGTTAAAAGTGTTCAGTATAAATAATAAATTGTGTAGTTAGTCTTAATGGATATCTTTATTCTATTATCTTACTATTTTTAATTAAAAATAATATACCTTGACTTGAAATAAGAAACTAAATTTAAAATTTTGTATTTATATAAATTTATAAATACAATGCAAATTAAGTTCTATTTTTAATTTGTATGATAACTAAAAAAAAAAATCACTGAAAATAAAATTCTGTATTAAATGTATATATTTGTATATTATAGTTGTAAATTGTAGGTAAATTTAAAATATTTATATTTTTCAAATTAAAAAATATATCTTGATAAACTTAAATCACATTTGTCTTGCTTTATATTAGTGTTTTAGACGTGTCATAATTTTAATAATTGTTACTTATATGATTTTTTTCCAATAGTTAAATCTGGAAAATTTTATAACTGACAAATATTTATATGAATATATATATAAAAATTACATATTTTTATACAAATTAGATTTATATGATCCACTAAATTGAATTTTATAATTTTCCTGGTGCCCTTCTAAGTTATTTTACATACAATGTGATGTTGTATCATAATCTTTTCTAATATGAATATAAAGTTGTTCATAAATAATCCTGATCAACAATTGATAATATTGTTAATATAAAAGAAAAATTCATGTTTATAGCTATTGTTGCTGTTTATAAAATATATCATTTTAAGTGTCATTTGATTCAATAACTCTAGTTGTCTTATTGAAAATTTTTACCTTTTTTCATAACTCAGTTCATGGTAGACAACATATTTCTTTTAAAATTAAACCAAAAAAATTAATTTAGAAACTAATTTTTTATACTAAGGTTATTGGTAACAAAAGTATATCTTGGTTTATAAATCATACATTTTATCATTATTAAATCATATCACATTTTAAAATTAATTTTTTTTAATTTGATAACTTTTAAAGAACAGAAAATATACTATTTAAACTCAAATGCGTGCATTTCCAAAAAATTAAGTTGATTTTGCCATAGGATATTTTAAAAACATTACACTCTGTCTATGTTATAAAAGCATTAACAAAAATGTTAAGACATTTTATTATACAACCTTATATAGATGGTAATATCTTTATTAACATCAGGATATTTACTTTTAAATTTGAAATACTTTTTATCAAAAATATTTTAAATTTGTGTTAAAATAGTGATATATTATCATACACATTTATTTAGTACCTGAAGGGGCACTGTTACATGACCACCCATTTTGTTTTTAGTACAAAGTTTTCTTAAATTGTATATTTTGAATCTATAAACAGATAACTGTTAGTTAAAATTAAAGTTTAAAATATCTGTAGGCAATTATGAATTTAAAAAAATTATACCGACCCCTCTAAAACCAGCATTAAATGAGTATACTAATAGTAATTTTAATAAGATAATAGTTTTGTATAATTTTTTTTAGAATGCCAACAGTAGATGTTCCGGAAATCCGTGTTAAGACAGCTTTTAATGGGTAAGTATTTAATTAATTTATAGTAGTTGTTAGTATACAATTTAAAAACGAATAAAAATTATTCCAGAGAAGTTATGATTACATACATTGATCCGCATATAACTGTTGACCAGCTTCGTCATGAAATGCGTGTTATTTGTAGATTTTCTCCAGATCAAGACTTTACTATGAAATGGGTAGATGAAGAAGGTAGTGAAATTTTGAATAAATAAACTTGTATATGCTTATTAAATAAATGTAAATTTTATTACAAATTTAGAAGGCCAAACAAGAATTTGCCTCATCCTTTCATAATTTATTTTTACAACCAAATAGGTTAGGTGGAAAGTACCTTCTATCTATAATTGTATAGGTATATACAAAGAGAAGTGATTTCACTTTTGCTATCAACTATTGAAATAATGTGTTTTTACTACTGTTAAAATTTCTAACTGATCACTCATCCGAAATCCAACAATTAGACAGATGCGTCTAATAACAAACTGATCTGCAACTAGTGTGTCTAGTGGTCTACATTACACCCCTTATTTATTAATTAAATTAAACGTTATTTAATATTTTTTTTTAAATTAAAAAAAAACTTATTTAGATTGATATCATAATAAAACTAAAATAGCAACAAAGTCTTACACTACTTATAATAGATTACAAGCAATAGTAAAGATTCCTTACCTAAAGGTCAAAACCTCTTATCATCATTTAATAAAAAAAAACCCAGCTCAGGGGGATCGCGGCACATTGGTGACGTGGCATAGTTGGATCAAGTATAATAATATCTGACAGTGATTAAAATCACTATCATAAAAGACGCTTTGATGCAAATCTGTAGATAGTGTTTAATTTTAAAAAATTGGCGGATTATTCCAAAAGCTACATGGTCTCCTATTTCCTTATTTATATTCTGATTATAAGTTTTATGATTTATAAGTGTAATATATGAATAAATATATATATATATATATATATAAAGTATAAAGGGAAATAGTGTTATTTAAAAAAAAAGTATGTCAAATGAAAGAGGGATATAAATATTATTTTTCATAAAAAAATATTATTGATTCATACACTTTTCAATAAGTTATAGCATAATAAAGTAAAAATAAAAATAATTATTTTTTATTAAAAAACAAAATAAAGTCCAAAATTTTGTCATAGTAAAATATTTTATATAAGCTTTAATTTAATATATATATATAAAAGCGTCAGTATTCCCGGAACACTTTCAAAAATTAGGTTCAAAAAGTTCTACTTTCTATATGCATTTTTAAGCTTTGAACCCCCTTTGTATTAAGAGAAATAGTTCGATTTAAAAAAAAAAGTGTATCGAATAAAAGAGGTATATAAATATTATTTCTCATAACAAAATTGTAGTGATCCATACATTTTTAAAAAAGTTATAGCATTTTAAAGTTAAAAGTGTAAATATAAAATCGAGAATTTTAAGACAAAAATAGCATGTGGTAACCATTTTCACCGTGAAGACAAAATAAAGTACGAAATTTTATTTTTTTCATAATAAAGTATATTACATAAGCTTTAATTTAAGGTATATATAAAAGTGTCAGTATTTCAAAAGTTAAGTTGAAAAAGTTGTCATTTTAAATCCTCCTCTGTGGGCAGGTAAAGGATCAGATTTATAAGAAAAACATATCAAATGATAGGTAAAGATTCAAGCATCTATAAAAAAAAAAAATAATATTGATTTATTTATTTTTAAGAAAGTTATGGCAGTTTTAAGTAATAAAATTAAAAAAATGTCAAAAATCAGTGATTTTTAAATTTGTATTTTTTTGGAGATTTCCCCCATTTATGGGAAACAAGGGAAATTTTTTCAATTTTTGAGGGTAATGTCTTCGACCTTCGACTAGATACGATTTGTGATGCTATCGTGGAAAGAAATCGGTTTGGTGAGAGCTGAGAAAAAGTGGTAACAGACACAAAAAAAATAAATAAATAAAAAAGAACACATCATAGTAAAGTGAATACCTTCTCAACTTCGCATCGAAGCTAAAATGCAAATATAAGTATTATGAATAATGAAAAAATTTAATATCCGTTGTATCAAAATCAAAAAGTACTTCAAACCTTTGACTAAAAATGATCAAAAATAATTTATTAGCCTCGATCCGATGCTGAGAAGATATTAATCATTCATTTCTAATGTTTTTAAAGTATTTATTGTCGAATTAGAATTGATATAATAATGGGTTTCAACTACACAATTAAATAATTTTACTTTGTAATTTATTAATTTTTTAACTTTATTTGTGTGTGTTTATTTACTACCAGTCTATAATATTCCAACTTTTTTGGTAACATTTTACTATATAAATTAAAAATCTAAAAAAAAATTATTTTTAGTTTTATCTGAATTTAACAAACAATTTTTACAATTCATAATCAAATTTTATTATATGTTCAATTAAGTAGATTTTTTTAACAACATTTTATTGGTTTTTTTTAATTAAAGTAAATCATTAAAATTAATTAAGTTCTTGATGTTTCAATTGAAGAATATTTTTAAACACCAAAAGTTACTTTGAAATGATTACAATGATTTCTATTTAAATGACTTATTACGTTAAAAATGCATAATATTAATGACCTTAATAATAATCTTTACCATACTATTTTTTAATTATCATAAAATTTTCCATTTAATAATATAAATATCAAATTTGAAGTCAAGCTAAAAGATATAGTACCAAATTCATTATTTTTTTTTATTATAAACTTTTAAAAATCAACTTTAAAAGACAAAACAATAGGTTAAAAATTATATTTTGCACTGATTCTTTTTAACATTAAAAATCAAAATCTGTAATAATTTAAAAACAATTTTTATTATTTTAAGTATTTTTTTATTGTAATAAATCATTTCAAAAGAAATTAATAATTTCTAAGTAACTCTTGGTATTTAAATAGATGATACAATTGAAATATTCAGAACTAGTTTCCTTATACATATATCCTATGGTTTTTAACTAATTGGTAATAATATCAAAAATTATTGGCGATAAAAAAAAATATAATTGCAATTTAATGTGAAATTAGCACGAAAAATTGTATAATAAAAGTATATTTTTGACTGATGAAATTTTTTTGCAGACCATTTATTAATAATTAACAAATTATCTAAAATGTTTTGTGTCAAGCCCTTCAATATTTATACATGTTTCCATAAAAGTAATAACTACTTTATAACTTTTTATAAATTCTTCGAAAAAATACGATACTAAAATTATTAAATATCAATCTCATAGTAATTTAATTGGTAAAATAAATATTTATTCATACATTATTCTTTTAAATCAAAAAACTACTAATCATGAATAACAAAGAAAATAGAAATTCATTTTTCTTTTGGTATAATCCACGAACTTCTTAAAATTAAACACTATCTACAAATTTGCATCAAAGCGTTTCTTATGATAGTGATTTTAAATCTATACTTGTCCCAACTATGCCACATCCATACTGTGCTGCAACCCCACTGACTGTGCTACCGTTTTTGTAAAACTAGTTTTGCATATAAAATTTATAATGTACTCCATAGCTCTTGTCTCTAGTCCCCCTTAATCTGACTTGTGTAAACTGAGATTAATATACAGTAATAAAATTTTAATTGTCTGCAATAAAAATTTTTGGAGAATTTTAGTGAATAAAATTCTTATTTAAAATTATTTGAAAATTCTTTTATTAATTTTTAAGGAATTTTTGTATGATTTTTAAAGACAGTGTTATTTAGAAAGGATATGTTATTTATAATAAAACATAAACAGATGTTGAACTTCTTTCGAAAGGTTCATTTGAGATTGTTGTATGAAGAAATCAAGGGGCTTCGTATAAAACATTTTGTGGGACTCTTATTATTTCTTTTTAATTAAAAAAAAATCTATTTTTATTAATAATAATTTATTTGATTTGTGTGATCTTGTACATGGACACACTTCTTACAAGCCTTTAATCGACGAAGTTGTTCTGTACTTCAAATCTTACAATAGTGTTAAAAAAAATTTATTATTATTTTTAAAGTTTTAAAAAATCTCATTTTAAAGTTAAAGGGTTTGTATAAAATTTTATATAAAACTCATCTAAATTCCTTAGATTCTTTTAGCTTCGATGCGAAGCTGAGAAGGTATTTTTTTACTAAGATGTGTATTTTTTTTTTTTTTTTTCTGTTACCACTTTTTCTCAGCTCTCACCGAACCGATTTCTTTCAATGATACGTCAAAAGATCACAAATCGTATCTTGTCGAAGACATTACCCTCAAAAATTGAAAAAAAATCCCTCGTTCCCCCTAAATGGGGGAAACCTCCAAAAAAATTACAAATTTAAAAATTGCTAATTTTCAAAAAATTTTCAATTTTTTTTACTAAAAACTGTCATAACTTTTTTAAAAATTAACATATCAATATAATTTTTTTTTATTTAGATGCATGATATCATTACATTTCATTTGGTATATATTTTTTTTATATCTGATCCTTTAACTGTCCACAGGGGGGGATTTAAAATGACAACTTTTTTACAAAAACTTAAATTTTGAAAATGTTCCGGAAGGTCTGACACTTTTATATATATCTTAAATTAAAGCTAATGTAATGTACTTTATTATGAAAAAAAAAAAAAATTTCGGACTTTATTTATCTTTATGGTGAAAATGGCTACCGAATGCTATTTTCGTGTGAAAATTTTCGATTTTGTATTTTACATTTTTAACTTTAAAATGCTATAACTTTTTGAAAAATGATGGATCAACACAATTTTTTTATGAGTAGTATTTATGTACATCTTTCATTCGACATACTTTTTTTTTAAATCGGACTATTTCCCTATATACAAGGGGAGTTTAAATCTTAAAAATGCATGTAGAAAGTAGAACTTTTTCAACTTAACTTTTGAAAATGTTCCCGAAAGTCTGACACTTATATATATATATTAAATTAAAGCTAATGTAATATACTTTATTATGGTAAAAAAAAATTTCGGCCTTTATTTTATCTTCATGGTAAACAGACATTAAACTTTATAAAAAAAATACGATTTTTGTAAAAAAATTCTTTTTTATATTTTTAACTTTATAATGCTATAACTTTTTGAAAGATGTATGGATCAATATAATTCTTTTTTTATATAGATGCATGATATCATTACCTTTCATTTGGTATAATTTTTTTATAAATCTGACTTTTTACCTCCCTACAGGGTGGGATTCAAAATGACAACTTTTTCACAAAAAATTGACTTTTTCAACTTAAATTTTGAAAGTGTTCCGGAAAGTCTGACACTTTTATATATATCATAAATTAAAGCTAATGTAATGCACTTTATTATGGAAAAAAAAAATTTCGTACTTTATTTTGTCTTCAGGGTGAAATTGGCTACCAAATGCTATTATTGTGTGAAAATTGTCGATTTTATTTTTTTTATTTTTAACTTTATAATGCAATAACTTATTGAAAAGTGTATGGATCAACATAATTTTTTTATGAGAAATAATATTTTTTAATAATCCCTCTTTCATTCGATATACTTTATCTGAATCAGGATATTAATAACGAACTAGCAGATCATGTTGCTTTTGGAATAATCCACCTATTTTTAAAATTAAACACTATCTAAAGATTTGCATCGGAGCGTTTTTTATGATAGTGATTTTAATCACTGTCAGATATCATTATACTTGATCCAAATATGTCACGTCACCAATGTGCCGCGACCCCCCTGTGATGGGTTTTTTTTATTTAATATAAGTGTTTATTTTTATTATTTTTTAAATAATAATAATATTTGATTTCTTCTTTAGTATTTTTTTCTTCTTTAAGACTTGCATAAGAACAACGGTATAAAATTTAAAAAATTATAAAGCGTTTATTAAATAATAATTTTCTTTGCATATTAAAGAATATTTAAAGAATGTAATAGAATATATTGATAAATTAAAAAAAATGTTGATGCTTTTTGTTTGTATGTAATAATTTTTTAAGAAAAGAATATAATTTATAGAAAATAATTTTAAAAGTTGATAAATTATTTCAAGTTTATTCTATTTATTCAAATGATAAGTAGGACGAATTTTTCAGTTTGGAAAATAAAAGTAAAAATTAATTTAGTTATTAAATTTTTTTATGATTATAAAGGTATTCTTCGAATTTAAGATAACATTTTTAACATATTTCACTGATTTTTTAAAGATTATTAGAAAAATATTTTTTAACTTTTGAGAAATTATTAGCATCATATTTTAGATATTTAAAAAATATTGTTCTAACTTAGATATGACTCAATGGAATTATTTTCTAAAATTTTATTTTAGTATTTTTACTGATATTATTGACGTTGTTACAATAAAAAACTTATATTTTGTTTTAATAATAATTATTATAAATAATAATTCTAAATTTTACTGATTATGATTTTAAATAACATTGAATTGATTGCTTGGTATTCTTTTATGGGAATTAATAATTTAAGGGTTCTAAAGATAGACTTACATTAGAATAATAGAAAAAAATTCTTTACGATTGTCAACATTACTTGATATTATAAAATTACCGTTACGTATCTAAAAATACAATGATAAAATTGTAGATTTTCTATCATGTTAAAAATAAAGAAAAAATCGAAAATATACCTGATTTCTAATATAATTTTGACACTTAATGACTTCTCTACAATTATACAATTTAATACTCAATGTGATGGTTTTAGTTGATGTTTCTAACAAAATTTGATTTACTTAACTACTAATTAAAATGTATTAACTTAAAATTATAATATTGTTCACAAATTACTAAAATAAATATTAGTTGATTCAAAAATTATTAGAGATAGATCAGAGTGTTCCTATATATATATATATAATATATATTCAAGGCGTGTATTGAAATTTTAGGGATCCATTTTATTTAAAAATATAACTATCTTTATAAAAAGAACTTTTTTAGAAAATAATTCTAATTTTGAAGGAGTCATTGTTTCCATAGCTCCTCTGTATAATATAATATAACTGTATATTAATACAGTTATATTATATTATACATTTAATACATCCAAAATATACTATTATGTATAAAAAATTATATATTTTCATGAAATCCTATTGGTATTAGTCTTTAGAACTACTGATAGTATTAAAAATAAAAAAGTACAATATTAAAGTTAGTTTTTTTTTACTATATGTATTAAGGTGATCCGTGTATTCTATCTACTCAAATGGAATTAGATGAAGCTGTTAGGTTATACGAACTTAACAAGGATTCGGAGCTAACAATACATGGTATGTTTATACATTTATCTATAATATAAAGGCGTTTAATTAAGATTATAGTTATCTATTTTTATTTTACTTTTGAAGATAATTTTTGAGGATTTGTTATTTAAGTTTCACTTTCATTACAGTTGTAGACTTTTAAGTCACTGATTAATTAGAAATATGTTTATAAAATGTGTAACGTTGCTAACACACTATGGCGATCTGAATGTAGTAGAATGTTATTTGTCATATAAAAAGGGAGGAAATGTGGTTTTGTTAACGGATTCGGCGCTCTGGTAGTAAAACTTTAGGGTGGAACCCTAACTGCAAACTGAAATACTTTTATAGCTGTAGTAGCCTAAAGTTAAATACATATGATGTTGTGTTAACAAAACTTTATAATTGTAATTTTTGTTGATTTGATCGAAACTATTATTTAAATTTTCTTCGTTGAATTTATTTAGTTAAATAGTTTTTGTTTTTTTAATTGTAGTAAAATAATATTAGTAAAAAATGGTCGTATTTTATTGTTACTTAATGTATTAAATTATTTATTGATAAGTTATCTTTTTACAGTTTAATTTGTGATACATAATTACAAGATCAAACATTTTTTTTTATTGCTCGTTTGTTAATTTAAAGCTAATAAAAATTTTTCATTTCATTTAGAACAAATCAATACATAAACACTAAAAAATTGTGAATTCCGGGCGTGTATTATATCAACTATAGTCTGATAACAAGAGTTTCATATGTTTTCTGAAATATAAAAATTTATTAATATATTTAAACATTATTAAACTTCAAATAAAACTATAATATACAATTTTTTAATTTTAATTGTCAAAGTTATGATATCGTAAAATTATGTTATTCCTTTTCTTTAATTTTATTTAGATAGTATTCTTATTTCTTTGACTGATGATTGTTCAATTATAATGTTTTAATTAATATAATTTATCACTAGTAAATAAATAAGTAGTAGTAACTTAAGTTAATTATTTAAAGCAAGACTAAATAATTAACTATGGCTTGGGGCTATTGGAGTGCATCAACTGTATCTGACCGTGGTAAATCACCAAAACGTCAATCTTCAACTTTGGCTTATTATAACCACCATATACCAATATCAACACCAGCTCCACCATCGACTTCATATTATATACACCAACCTTTACACAGCACAAGTAGCTTTGGATCTATAGAAGATGATGATTATCATCATGCATCAATATTTTATCGTCGACCATCTCTTGGAAATATTGAGTTCACTGGACCTGGTTCTTTATCATTATTATTAAATCAACAAGGATCTGCTTCTCGGCCAAGAACCCCACCTTCTCATAATCTTTATGGACCACTTACTTCACATAGTTTACCTGAAGCATATAGTTCAAAAATGGCGAGCCGTCAAAGTTTAAATTTTTTTGGTTACCAATCAAATCCTATTGTACAACATTACCCATGCAATGTACATGACCCTTCACCATCACCTTCAATATCTGATGATGAAGATCATGTTTATGCCACAGGTATTAACATTTGATGTCAAATTAGATATTAAAAAAAATTGCAGATTTTAAATACTAATTTGTACTTTATTACAAATAAAATATTAATTTTATAATATCTATTCAGCTGAATTTTTAAAGCATGTCTTTACATGTGGAACAGATCTAACTACAATTATTATAACTTTTATTATGAGGCGTTCAGAGCCAGAGTGGACTATCCTTCTAGATATAACAGTTGAGAAAAACATCATTGAAGTTTGAATGACAAATTAAAATTTCAATTGAAAAAACTAAGGTGTATACTTTTACACTAATAAATAGTAGTTATCCTATAAAATAATTCACTAATTTAACAGCTGTTAAAAAAAAAATCAAGGATTTTCCAATCTGACATAGAATTAATTTTTATATGGCTTGGTCCAAATGGTTTTTTGGCGCTATCTATTAAATTTTTTAAAAACAAATTATTTTAATACACGCATCACTAGATAGCAGTAGATAATGATTATTGCAATAATTTTCTCAAAAATGTGGGATAGTCCCATCTGGCTCTGAGCACCCTATATAATTATCAGTTCATTATAATTTATTATTTTTTTTTTTGCGTTCTTATTATTTTTTTAAATAATTTAATAATTTTTTCTTTCAAAATTTCAAAATAGCAATTTTTAGAGACTTTTTTACAAAAAATTTAAATGTGTCAATAACAGTTTTAGGATTTACTAATGTTTGTAACTTAATGAGATACAAACATTTTAATACATAGATTAAGTTGAAATATGGGTGGAGTATGCATAATAAATATTCACCAATATAATTTCTTATTCATCTGTATTACATACCAATTTTATGTATTAAATTGCTTGTAATTTAATGAGTACTCATTCTAAGTAAGAAAAAACTAAAAGTAGCTGTTTTGTAATTGTGACCAAAAAAATGACAAAAATGTAATATATAAATTTTATTTTTGAATTTTACATTACCTATGTCAAATTTTATTTTTTGGAGAGCATCATCTAAGAGAATCATAAAAAAATGTAATATGCATTGATATCCGGGCCCCCAGTTATAAGAGATGTTGATTAATACTATATATATATATATATATTCTTAGTAATATAGTGTAAGAATTTGTTTTAATTTGCATGATTTTTGTACTATTATAGTTATTGTATGTAATATTGTATTTTGATTTTTTTTCATGTATATAATATTAAATAATATAATTTCATAGCCGATATAAATATTATGCTAGTTATAAGATTATAATTTTTTTACCAAATAATTGCTATAACTAGAATATATATAGCCTTGTGCAAATAAACCAGGCAAAGGCATTTTGTGTTCTATTATTCAAAATTATGCTAAAATAATTTATACTGTAGAAATTTGATTATAAAATAATAAAATAATTTTTTTTTCATTTAAATATTTTCTATCTATAAAAATAATATATTTAGTATATAAAATGATTAAACATTGATTATTATTCAGAGGTGTATCTAGGATTTTAAGCTTGGAAGATCAGCAACCTTAAATTTATAATTAGACATGAAAAAATTGTTTAGTGACAAAAATATCTTGTATTAAATTATTTTATTTCATTATTAATTCAATCAAATATTATTTTTAATGCTTTTAAAATATCTATATTTTTTTAAATCTGATGTTTTCGTCATATTGCTTGATTTAATGGAAATGCTTAGCTTAAAGAAAAATTATATATTTAGACTTATCTTAGAAAAAATAAATTATAATAATTTTAGTTATATAAATTTTTTTAATTTTTAACATTTAATAAATAACTGCTAAAAAATAAAAATGTTACTTTTATCTTCTTTTTTTTTTTAGTTTTCACGAAAAACAATTGACAGTATTAAAAATTTATAATAATACTTTAGTTAGTAAATAACAATTTTCATTCATATATAAGTAATGTTCACCTTTTTATCCATAAAATGTACTATACAGGGTGATTTTTTTATCATAACCCACTCAATTACTTACAGAATAATAATAATTAAAATTTTTTTTTTTATTACTATCTTTAGTTACACATTATTCTTGAATTATTAACTATGTAATACTTTTTAAGTTCATCCCTTATGCCTGGTAAGGGTGTCAACTTTATTTTTTTAAATGGTAACACATATTTTGAATTTTATAAAATGTTTGAGTTTTTAATTTAATAACAAATGTCATTTGAATTTTTAATATAACTTTATTCGTTTATTAGATATAAACATTTAAAGTTTCAATTTTTTGAGTTAATATACATGTATAATACACTAGGGATTAAAATTACAGGTAGCTAATTGGTTTTTTATGACATCGATATTAGCAGGTACAAAGCATTGTTATTATCAATGGTAGTAAGACACATTGTTGTGAGTTTATAAATACACTAACTGACAATACAGAATGTATATCTATTGATAGTCATAATTGATAATAACAATGCTTTGTACCTGCTAATATCGATGTCATAAAAAACCAATTAGCTACCTGTAATTTTAATCCCTAGTGTATTATACATGTATATTAACTCAAAAAATTGAAACTTTAAATGTTTATATCTAATAAACGAATAAAGTCATATTAAAAATTCAAATGACATTTGTTATTAAATTAAAAACTCAAATATTTTATTAAATTCAAAATATGTGTTACCATTTAAAAAAACAAAGTTGACACCCTTGCCAGGCATAAGGGATGAACTTTAAAAGTATTACATAGTTAATAATTCAAGAATAATGTGTAACTAAAGATAATAATAAAAAAAAAATTTTTAATTATTATTATTCTGTAAGTAATTGAGTGGGTTATGATAAAAAAATCACCCTGTATAAGAAATAAAATTTTTAAAATATAATAGAACTTTTAATTGTTAACAACAATTTATAAAAATATAACAAAAACAGCACTATATTTATTGCATTCATTGTAACGTGACATTAAATTAAATTTTTGTTAATGTGATTAAAGTTATCAAATAACTATTAAGGATATAATATTATGGTCAGAATTTATGATCTAACTTAAACTGTTTTAACCATAGTAGTTTAAATACTTGTGATCAAAAATCAGATAATAATGTTGTTTTAGATAAAAATAATCTATGTTTAGTTTATTATGGTTGATGAAAAAATGAATGAACAAATAATTTATTTATTTATCTCATAATAAATAATATTCATAGACAAAAAAATCACTTGGTAATAAAATTAGATGGAGAGCATTGTCCTACTTTCCTATCCATTATTGATGCCATTGTTATTATTATAATACAATGTTTTTACATTACTACAAGAAAAATAAATGTATTGTTTTTGAAATGGTATGATGATGTATTGTCACAATTTTATAGATGATAAAAAAAAATTTTCATTACTCTTATAATCATTAAATATTAACATTGAATAATTTATCATTACGTTTAATAATATTATTGAAAAAATATTTAGTGCTTAATTTATGAACTATTTGTTTATTTAGTTTTTCCTAATGTGCCACCAGCACCTGGAATGCCTTGTCAAGGAGAAGATCGTTAGTATTTTAATTACAAATTAATAAAATATTAGAGTTATGTAAATTTTATTCTATTTTAGGTAGCATTTACCGAAGAGGTGCTAGGAGATGGAGAAAACTTTATCGAGTCAATGGCCATATTTTTCAAGCTAAACGGTTTAATAGGGTTTGTACTTAAAAATATTAGTTTATATTTTTGAGCCTGAAAAATAAAGTTTTAATTCTCTTTTATCAATCTAATTTATTGTTGAATTAAAATGTGAAATTTTTTGTTTATCTTTTTACCTATCTTTAATTTTATTGTTCAATACATATTAAGTGATTGATAAATTAAATAAGGAGTTTTAATATAATCTTATGAGGTAATAATAGGTTTTTTACTTCTACTAAAAATATTCATTTATTTATTTGAATTTATTAAAATTCTTAAATTTTAAAAACTATTGTAATAATGTTTAAGAAAATATATTTTATGGACTATCTTTTTATGGATTTTGATACAAATAACTTTAAAACAATATATTATACATACTATTGCTTATATCCAAAAGTTGATTAGTCATTTACTCACATAAATGAGTTTAAGAAATTACTCAACTTATATTAAGGAAAGAAAATTTTATTGTATTTGTACTTCATGAATGCTGCTTGCTTAAAACCATTGGCGGCCCTAATAATACTCTTTTTCTTCTCTTGGCATGTTTATTCTCTAAGAGTTTCTGCTAACATTACTACTCCTTGACACCCTTCTCTATCTTCTCCAGTTCTCCTCTCACAAAATTTTTAGATTTTCTTCCACCACATTAATCAATTTTTTACCACGTCTTCCTCTAGGCCTTTATTCATTTTTCTTTTTTTGTTATTTGAGCATTATTCCTTTATGATATTAAAGAAAATAAATCTCAAAACTAATGTTTATATACTTAATTATTAGTTTATAAATAACATCTCATGCCTAAAAATCTAAGAGACTTATAAAGTTAAATTTATGTTTATTTTTATTTAGCCAAAATAAACTGTAGATTTATTCCAATTTATTTAAATAGGTATAATCTTATACTTAAAGTATTTGAGTTGTAAAAATGAGTATTTATATATATAGATATATATTTTTTTTTGTAGCGGGCATTTTGTGCTTATTGTCATGATCGTATTTGGGGTCTGGGACGTCAAGGATTTAAGTGTATTCAATGTAAACTGCTAATTCATAAAAAATGTCATAAACTTGGTAAAAAGACATGTACCAATGATCCAATAATAAATGAAGATACAAATGGAGACTCACAAACTACTCTAAGTATATTAAACAAATTATTTTATTTTATTTTAACCAAAATGATAATTTTTTTATTTCATTATCTAGGTACTCAAAGTTCTGATACAGCTTTGCCAGATCTAAAAGATTACTCTGACCAAAATTCTGTTATAGATCAATCCGCTGATTCTGTTCCTATTGAAGATCCTTTAGCTAAAGGTAAAGCAATTCAATTATAAATAATTTTTTTAATGTATATTATAAGATTTATTTTTATAGTTATTTTGTATGTATTTTAAAAAGTATACATAATAATCTATTTATTTAGGGGATGATGAAGGAGTATCACGTCAATATTCCATTGCTGACTTTGAGCTAATAAGAGTAATTGGCCGTGGAAGTTATGCAAAAGTATTAATGGTTGAACTTAAAAAAACTAAATGTATTTATGCTATGAAAGTTATTAAAAAAGCACTTGTAACTGATGATGAGGTATTAACTTAATTTGAATTGTTACAATTTAAAAAAATTAGCATTAAATTGTAAATCAACATTTTTAAGGACATTGATTGGGTGCAGACAGAAAAACATGTTTTTGAAACAGCTTCTAACCATCCATTTTTAGTTGGATTACATTCATGTTTTCAAACTGCTAGTAGATTATTTTTTGTAATTGAGTTTGTCAGAGGTGGTGATCTTATGTTTCACATGCAACGACAACGTCGATTGCCAGAAGAACATGCTAGATTTTATGCTGCAGAAATTAGTTTGGCCCTAAATTTTTTGCATACAAAAGGTAAATTTGATATTTCTTAAAAACTATGAGCTATGTTTAAAAGTACAAAAAGTTCAAAAATTAAAATTTGCAAATAATAAATTATACATGCCTAAGGATGTTTAATAAAAATAATTTCTGATAATGTTGAATCTATAACTAAAATTTTTTTAGAATTATTATTTTAGTGATATTAGTCAGTAATTGTAAACATTACAGATTTTACTGTTACAAAACGTTTTATTTTATTTCATTTCTCACTACCATTTACCAAAGTAATAAATGGTTCAATAGGTTTAGGTTTATAGTAAAAAGAAGTATATATATTTTTGTATGTATTTGTATCATTTATGTTTTAAATAAATAATATTTAAATATTTAATTATATTCTAGGTATAATATACCGTGATTTAAAGTTGGATAATGTATTGCTTGATCATGAAGGGCATATTAAATTAACTGATTATGGTATGTGTAAGGAAGGAATAAGAGCAGGTGACACTACATGTACATTCTGTGGTACTCCTAACTATATTGCTCCTGAAATTTTAAGAGGAGAAGATTATGGTTTCAGGTAATTTTATTTTTAAACACTAAAGCATTCATAGAAATTTATAAAAATATATTATTTTTTGTATTGGTGTCACTGAAATTTTTGCTTTTGCTCTATAAATAAAACTTGAAAAATTTATTTGAACTATGTAATGTGCTCTCCATATTCATTACCTTTTAAAAAAAAATTTCTATTAGACCATGTCATATTTTTATAAAAATAAAATTAATTTAATATCTTAAAAAAAAAAATGATTTAAATTAAAGTATATAAACAAATGTATTTATAGATTGAATATATATTTTTAATGGCTATAGGTAAATGTATTTTTCTATATTTGTAATTTTATGTAATCAAAATTTTGCAAGTAAAAAATAATGAAATAAGTTTGGGTTACATTAATTTATTTTTTATTAAAATTATCAATCATGGTAATATATATATATATATATATATATGTGTGTGTGTGTGTTATTTTTATTTATTCTATAATTATTATAACATATATAAGGTGACTCATTTATTAAGTTTCGAAATATAAAACAAACAATAATTTTTTGTTTTCAGAAGTTAATGGTATTCTAAATTTTATAATTTTTCATACAAATTTTGGTCTCGAGCTCTCTTTAAGCATCTGAAATTATATCAATTTATATTTTTTAAATGGAATCCTACAAGATGTATCAGATCTAACTTACAGCTCTTATAATTTTTAATACAATTAAGATTTCGTTTTAATTTTTTTTTCTTCTAAGTACTAAGACATCTAATGATCTGACTAAACAGTTGGGTCATTGTCATAATACTAAGTTTGTTAAACATATAAGTTTCTAATTAAAAAACAAATTTGATGCAATTTTAAGAAGAAAGAACCAAATCTAACTTTACCCAAATTACCAAAATAGGGCCAATTTTTTTTATAAAACTATAGTTTATGAACTATAGTTAACTATAGAATACTGTACATATAAGAGTAATATTAAAAGAGAGTACACATAAGTCATCAGACTCTTCTCTCCACTTCAACCACCTGCACTTAATCCTGTGTCTTACATCCTCGTCAATACAACCATTCTTTTGCACAACTGATCCTAAATACTTAAAATTTTCCAACTCTCCAATTACTTCCTCATCTACCTCATGTTCTCCTTTATCAAACTCGTACTCTATATACTCTGTCTTACTCCTGCTTATTTTTAAACCCTTTTCAAGAGCTGATCTCCACACCTTTAGCCTTTGATTAATTTCCTCCCTATTTTCTCCTATTAACACTATATCGTCAGTAAACAACATGCACCACGGCACCTCTCCTTGTATTTCTCTAGTAATTTCATCCATCACTATAGAAAATAAGTAAGGGCTTAAAGCTAAACCCTGATGCACTCCTACTCTTACCCGAAAACCTTCTGTTACTCCTCCTACGTTTTTTACCCTGGTACAAGTGCCATCATACAAATCTTCTATTATACTAATGTACCTTTTCGGGACTCCTTTTCTCATTAATGCCCACTGAAAAACCTCTCTAGGTACTCTATCATATGCTTTCTCCAAGTCCATAAATACCATACACAGTTTTTCTTCTTTTTCCTAAACTTTTCTATTAGATACCTCATACAAAATAATAACAATCAAGTTTAGTTAATTACATATAATAATAGAATATAATTTTTTAATTTTAATTTTTACCATCAAATTTTGAAATTGTAACTTAAAAAATTCTTACACAGTAAAAAAAGGTAATCTAAAAAAGTAACTAAAAACTAATTTTATTATTTTTTAATTAATTAACAATCAGAGTGGTTGATAAAATACTATATAAGTTGTTCACTAAGTAAGGAAAGTGGTTTCTATTTTGCTTATTGTTTTCAAAATAATTGATCTGTTACCTTACTTACTGAATATTCTGTATAATAAATAATAATATAGCCGTGCATTGTATTTTTTTTTTAATGCTTCTGAGTTAGCCATAACGATATTATTAATATACTAGGCTTCACCTTCAATGCGTAAGCCTCTTTAGGTCATTCTCGTAGGTAGGCCGTTATGAGTATTGGCTACGACGGGCACCATAAGTGTTTTACAGGAAAAATATTACATCACAATCAGTGCAACAAAAATATATTAAAAAATTAATTATTAAAATGAGGAAAATTCAAAAAGAGAATATAGTAAAATGTATTGAGTATAAGGTTTACGTTTGTTAATGAAGTATTCGAAATTATTTTAGGAAGGTAATTAATTTTTTTTACTTAGGATTTTATTTATAATCATTCTGAAATTTATATATAACTTATATAAATATAATGTAACATTCCTTGATAAAATATACAAATTATAGTGCAATGCGCAAATGCAAACTCTGCATGGACATAAAAAAAAAGTTAAAGGCGAAAAAAGTACAATTGAACAATAAGTTCATTGTAAAGCAAAAGTACAAACAATCTTATTATATAATAGAACAAAGAAAAAAAACGCTTTTCTAAGAAAATTACTTAGCATGTTCGGATTTTCAAATTTTTTTTTTCAACGAAAGTACTCAATCACTAGACTCTGGGAAAATTATTGGCGAAGGTTGGAAAATTTTTACCGCTTGTCCGCTCGCGTTTTAAAATTTCGACCGTTTTCGAGAAAAACGCTCGCTGACACCAACGTTTTACGACCTAAGGTTTGAAATTTTCACCAGACCCGCCCAATAACATTTCTGAGATATGATAAAAAAATCAATTCAATCCGTTCATTTTACACCGTTTTACGACCTTTTTTTTTATTCGCAATTATATCAAGGCAATTTGCACACGTGCCGAGGAGCGCTTAAAATCCGAAATCCAAACAAAACTTTGGCTGCTATGAGGGTTTGAAATTCATCAAATTTGAACGAAAAATAATTATTTTTCTGTATGTCAATAATACATGTACACGTCCTATTACCTTATTATAAAATAGCACAAGGAAAAAGTCCACGCGCATGTTTTTAATATAGGCATTGACTCATTTCTACGCATATGTTTATTGTGACCCTTAATTTGTAAAATATGTATTTTTATGACGATTTCATTTTCTATTCAATTTATAATTAATATATGTGATTGTTGTCATATATGAATTGATTGTTTTAGTTTATTAACTATCTTTTTTTTTGATATTATATTTATTATTTTAATATATGTTTAGTTTATTAAGCTTACTTTTATATTAAGATACTTTCTATCGATTTCTTTTAAATATGTTAATTATACAATTTTGTTGATTTATTAAATCATGTTTATTGTTATATATATCATTGCCTGTGGTAATGATTTTTTTGCAATTTTTCCTTAATTCTTTTTGAGTTAGAATTTTGCTTTTGAATAACCCACCAATTTCTTAAAATTAAACACTATCTACAAATTTGTATCGAAGCGTTTCTTATGATAGTGATTTTAATCACAGTCAGATATTATCTATACTAGTCCCAACTATGTCACGCTCACACTGTTCTGCCGTTTTGTTTGAATTAATATTCAATCAAAATTCTAAAACTCTCGGGGGCGAACGGAAAAATTTTCCGACATTCGCCAATAATTTTCCCGGTGTCTCGTGACCGAGTACTTTCGTTGAAAAAAAAATGAAAAAATATGATCTTGCTAAGTAATTTTCCCAGAAAAACGATTTTTTCTTGTTCTATTATATAAGAAGATAACATAAATATGTAATACTAAAATTTATCTTCTTATAAAATAAAATTTAGAAAAAATAACTTTATTTTTATTACATTACTTATTGTAGTTTATTTTATATTATTGAAAATATTTCAGTGTCGATTGGTGGGCCTTGGGTGTTCTCTTATATGAAATGTTAGCTGGAAGAAGTCCATTTGATATAGCTGGAGCCTCTGAAAATCCAGACCAAAATACTGAAGATTATTTATTCCAAGGTAACTATTTTTATTATTTTATATTATCCTCTTACAATATGTAAAAATATTTTTTACCATAAAATAAATAACAATCAAAATGAAAAATATTTTTATGTAAATTTAAAATGTAATACTTTTTGAAAAATAAATAATCTTTAGATAAAGCTAAAAAATATGTTTTTTATTTTGTATATTATTATTTTTATTAACATATTTTAGTTATTCTGGAAAAAACTATCCGTATTCCAAGATCACTCTCTGTAAAAGCAGCTTCAGTTTTAAAAGGATTTTTAAATAAAAATCCTGTTGATCGTCTAGGTTGCAACCGTGAAACAGGATTTTATGATATTATAACTCACCCATTTTTTAAATCTATAGATTGGGAAATGGTATGTTAATATATTTATTAAAATTATAGTAGAGGAGAGCAGGGTAATTGATACTGTGAGTAAGTTATAACAATATAGATATTTCCACTTTAAATAGTGATTATATTGCGTCAACTGAATAATTTTATGAAATAATTAATAATAAAAAAATATTAGCTAACTACCTTTTAAAGTTAAAATATGTCTATTTTTATTAATTTACTCTTAATAACAGTTTAATTGTGCTCACCTTTACATTTTTTATGTAAAATTTAACATTTAATAAATTTTTATAAGCATAATAAATCTATTGAATTTGTTATTAATTTAAACTTTCAGCTGGAACAAAAACAAGTTAGCCCACCTTATAAGCCAAGACTAGATTCTGACCGCGATCTTGCAAACTTTCCACCAGAATTTACAGATGAGCCAGTTCACCTCACACCTGATGACCTGTAAGTACTTAATATTTTCTTTAAGTTTTAATTATTATATTTAACAGATTTATGATAAAAATTAAATAGTTACCATAAAGTAAGTGGAGATCGCTTCTCATATTTAAAATATTTATTACTAGGCTTTGTCTAGATAGGTCTCCGCCCCAGACCCGGTGCTTTGCGGGCCTCACTCACCTACTGTGTGTTATGCGCTCCGAGCTGTCCTTATAGGTAGGCCACTGATTCCCATAGAGGTACTCGGCTATGACGAGCACGATATGTGTTGTACAGGAAAAGTACTACTCCAGAAGCAATTTAACAGAAATATAGTTAACATATAATTAATTAATTAAATGATTAAAACTCAAAAATAGTAAATAGTGAACTGTATAGGGTATAGTTTACATTTTTGTCCAAGGTTATCACAATATTTTAATAATATTTCAATTTTAACACTATCTTTGTCATCTACAATATTAATAAAATTGTGTTATGAAGTTAAAGGTAATAAGTTGATATGAATACTATAATATAGAATTTAAAATAAATAACCATACATTTAAAGTTGTTTTAGAATTTAATTGATCAATACAAATTTTCATTAACGTTTAATATAAAAACTGTAGGAAAATGTCCTAACATAATGAAAGAATGTTGGTATGGTAAGGCATACTATAACAATAAAAAATTTGTTCCGAAAGAAAAAAGGAGAAAGAAATAAAATAAAATGATTAATAAAAATAATAATAAATTAATTTTTCTATCATTCAATACTTATTTTTTTTTTATACATTCTATTCGATAATTTTTATTAGTTACATGAAATAATAAAAAAATAAAGTTGATCTTTTTTTTGTACTATAATTAGTTTTCAATATTAATCTAACATTATTTATTCAATGTGATTTCTTACTGAAACTATCTGTTATCAAATGGTTCGTATTTTTAAAAATTAATTATTTCCATTGTAACCATTTTATGTTTTTTTTTTATTATGTATTTGAAATGAATTAAAAATCTTTCTAAAAATAGTGTATTTACTAAAAGAATTAATACTGTTCGTCATAATGCCCTTTTCAAGATTTTTCATTCCACAACGATTAACTAAACCTTTTTCCATAATAATCGTCAAGCTCTACTGAATGCAATTGCAATAATCTGGGACGCTTTTAAACGTGTATTTGCCTTACAAAAGAATCATTATTATAATAACAACGGGTGACCCTGGTATATTTAAATCGACTATTTCTTACCTGACGAAGGGTTCTAAACGAGAGCACAATAATAACAAACGTTCCTTGTCCTCTAAAGAGCACACGACTACCGGTCCTCGCCAGGCATTGTTTTAACAAGGAATTATTATAAAAAAAACTATTTGTCCTCGCAGAATCCCTGTGGCTCCTTTTCACACATCTACGTTCCGTTTCCTGTGTATTAATTGCTACCCTCTACGTCCGGAAAAGATCAGCTGCAACTCGACGGGTTTCTAAACTGCCGGTCACCGAGGTCAAGCTGCTGCTATTGCTGCCGCCTGAAAAAGAAAAAAATACCCATACGCCTCCTCGTTTCCACGTACTTAATATACGACGTGGTTCGTTATTATAATGAACGAATTACATAATGTTTTTTGTTTCCTTCGACAACTACTCGTAGACGTGGTTTACGACGATATTAAGCTTTTTGTTCTCTTTCTTTATCCTAGTAGTCCATTATTTGTATTAAAAGAAACACCTTGCAGTTTATAATAAAAATACATCGTGCAATCCTTAATATATGACGTTGTTTTCCAATAGAAAAATATAGCCTAGTTGTGTTTACATTTCGTGACAATTTACGGTACAAGCAGCTTACACTCAACCAGCTTATACGGCATATGGGTATAAAACAATCAGAATATTTTTAAGAGAACATAGGATTTGGAATCCTATTCGAATTGATTTATTCAGTTGCCTAAAAAATCGACCACTTTGCTAATAATCTCGCTGCGCCAATAAAGAAAACAATATATATATTTTTTTTTATTGACGTTTATAACAAAAAGAAAAGTTATTTTCGCCCGTTCATATTGAAATTGTTTCCACGAGTAATTTAAGGATCATTTGAAATATTGAACCAAAAGTTTAATTGTGTGTAACTTTTCACTTTTAAACATAAGAATTTTCAAAATTATTATTCCGCAATTGTAACCTTCTTTTTTTTTGAACGCCTCGTCTTCCTGAATCATATTATTACCCGATAAATTTTATCAGTAATGTGTGTGTGTGGCTTTTGTTGTGGTGGCGTTAGTAACCGGATTATCACCGTATTTCTAACAACGCGTGCAAAAACATAAGAAGCCTAACAATAAATAAGCACAGTTGGTCACGCGCAATAAAACACATAAATGCTGCATAAGTACATCCGGTAATGCGGCTGGAGACTAGCAAAACAATTTATCTACATAATATCGTATTTTTAGCACTGAGATTATCTGATCAAATAGATAAAAATGTGCACATTTGCGATCGCGTGATGCTGACAATCGGTATTAGCGTATGACGCGCTTAAAAACATAATAAATTACACATATCTCACTGCTGTCCGGTAGGCCCACACCACGTGGCCAATTTGCAGTCGTCAAAAACGATCATTAGTCAATTTCGATCTGTTACAACACTGACGGTTATATTATTATCCTAATGCATTTCAACTATGAAAAATGAATATAATTTCTATTGCCAACATTTTTTCTGTTTAATATTCTAGTAAGTTAACCTAAACATCTCGGGACGAATGCCAACTACCGTACGTTATGCAACGAGAATACACATTACGTACGTCTGAATAATATGTTGTCCTATTCCAACTTTGGATTGATCGAATTCTAAAAACCCATCACAGTAAAAATCTTTTCATTCGTCGAGATAATCAAGGCCTCGAAAATTGTTTTTCCTGCCTAATATTAAAAATAAATATATTTTTATTTGATAGTTGGCGAGTATCTACAGATTCAGCCTCTTACAGATGATAAATTATACAATTGTAAAATATCTTACGTTAATTTATCACTTTCAGTTGCTATTAATTTCAAAGTTTCGTGGTTTTTTTGTTAATATATTAAATATTATTTGATAATATATTTAACCCTGTCGAATTGAATTCAAAACATTTTCCATTATGATATTTGTGGTCTGTGACATTTGCATATAAACGATGAAATGGTTCCGAATGGATTTTAATAACGGTGGCAGTGACCCATAGACATATTCCCCCCAAAATCGGCTTTATCACAAAATGTTGAAAGTGTGGTGTTTTTTAGTAGAATTTATTTTTGTTAATTATTTGAGTAAAAAGACATCTGTTGTTTAAAACAATGAATAATTACCCAACACGACCTGATAAATTCTCATGAAATTGCAATAACGAAAATTACAATTTATATGATTGATGTTTTTAAGAAATTATTGCTTGAAAATGTTTTACTTGTAAAATTCTAGAGCATTCGTTAAAATTTTTCCAACGGTTTATTAAATTAGCATTAAAAAAATATGACGTATGAACCATAGTAAGTCATTTGCCCTTAGACGATCGATTCTTTAGAAAAAAATGTTATCTTTTTCTCTTATAATTTAAAATATTTTTAATTCTATTTTTCAATGTACATTAGTCGCATTTTATGATCTAAAAAACCATAAAGTCACTAAACTATAAACCATCATAGTTTCTCTTGAAAACTTTTTTTACGACTGTGTAATAAAAAATACATATTTCCAGAGTAATTAATACCGATCTTACTCATTAAAATGAGTTAACTATACGAGATAGTACTAGTTATAACCGGACGTCGATATCATCTATGTCTCCGGGCTGCAATTATTTACAAGAGGGATGACTTTTTCTATTCATTTATCGAGTACAAATAATTAATATAATAGTTTACATTACATCGACGTTATTAATAATGAAAATAAATTTATTTGAGAATTGTTTGAACAAAGCGGTCCTGAAAAATAGCGATAAAAGAGTTGTATTTAAGTGTATAATCGTAAGGCAATGCCCTCGATTATTTTCCATGACATTATTCACCAGTGTTACCGTTTTGACATATTTACGGTTTTTAAATTACAAATTGAAAAGCGACCGCCCAAGCAGTGTGTCAATATTATACAGTATCTAACGGTTACTCGGAGGTCAAAGGGACACGTCGTGTAATTTGTCAGGACACGCGCAATTATTCAAATTTCTCCAGTGCTATTGTAAAATACTGTACTATTACTGCTGTCCGTTTCCATTAGACGCGTCCCCGGGGCGTGAGATCACATGTTCCCTTCGCGCGTTTGACACCTCTCGGTTCATTATCGTGGTGTCTTTTTTTTTTCTCTCGTCACCGTCTCCAGTTCTGCCGTCTTCTTTACCCGTTCATCACTGGACCCTCTAACAGTTTTGTCCACGGCTCATTTAGCATCTAAATATTAGCATATTGATGTGAAATACCCATAGAACGTACCGAGGCGACTTTCAGAGACTGATTAAATTTCGTCTGTGAAATTAAATACGAGATTTATTATTTCGCTACGAAATATCTTTTCGAAATTGTTATGTGTGTTTTTTATTTATTGCCACGTATTCTTTACTTTTCTCTATATTTTCTTGCGAGACATACGCACGTTGCAAAGCGTCTGGCGCTGTTATTTATAGAGGCGAGTCCCGGGGGCGCTTTTAAAACACATGCGAACAGTAAAAAATGTACCGAGAAAGAGTATGAAACAAGAAATATGTAGAACAATAAAAATATTTGACTATTTTCGAGTGTATCGTTTCATTGTTATGAGTATTATACTGCAATTTTTTTTCTTGTTGATATATTTATATATTCTAATGTGTGTGGATGTGTCATGAGTGAACTTGGTTCCCGCGGCTTTTAGCCAAAACCTGACAGATTATCCGCAAATATTTGCAGCAGCCGCACAGTTCGCTAAAAATAATCTTCGATCACCGCGGTAGAATTTGCTTAGAATAAACGATCACGAACCTTATTATCCAGAATCATATATGTTATAAAAAAGCGTTGTTTTGTTTTATGCTCTGAATTAAAAAAATAATTTTTTTTACTCTCGCAGTCTATAATATCTGTATGAGTTATCTTATGACGTAGACCTTTAGATTGGCAACTGTAATCACATTTCTAAGAACTAATCTAGGAAATAAATTAATTTTAAAATTATACTCTAAAATCCTTTTGTAGGGTTTGACGTTTTATTACCCGGTAATAGTAAAGTCTACTGTTACGAATATCATCAAACAGCAACGGAAAATCTTTTTTTTTTTTGTGTGTGTGTGTGTTTTTACGATGGCCATGTGACGGTTGTACTGTAAGCATGTATACTCAATTGAACGGCCTCGGAAAGAACGTAGAAAAAAATAGTCGTAAAAACCTTTGTGAAGGCCAAAGACTACCCGTTGCACTAAAATCGTCAACAGAAGTACAGCCCCCCTTGTTATTACTACTTAGATGAAGTAGATGAGCGGATTTTTACGACCGGGCATTACCTTAAAAACGCCCGAAATTTTACGACCCATCTACGAACCCCCGATTAAGGGCACTCCATTCGCGCGATCCGACAATGGAAAACGTCGGAAAAAAGACTCGGGGCTGCAGTTTTTGATTACCGGCAAGCTTCTATCTTTTGAGGGGAACGTTGAAATTTAATGCTGGTATTATCTACGCCCAAAGAATCTAACAACTCGTCCGGTCTCCAAAATCCTGAACAAAGTTAATCATGACGGTAATTGAAAATATAAATTACTACCCCGGGATACAAAAAAGTATTGGATAAATAATAAAAAATATTATGGTTTTCATTAAAATTTGTACCGTTCAATACATAGCGAATAATTCATGTTTTCCACGAGCCATATTAATATTAAATAATAAAAATATTATTTATTTATATGATTTATGTATTAAAAATAACCGTCAATTCATTACACTATTAATTTTTGTCTTTAGTCGTGTAATTGAAAAAATCGACCAGTCTGAATTCGAAGGATTCGAGTATGTGAACCCTTTGCTGATGTCACAAGAAGATTGTGTTTGACACGAGGACGAGTGCGTCGATGATTTTTCGGCGCATCATCTCTTTCAGTATCACCACGAAGCCGACTGCCCCTGCTCAACGACGATTGATTCACCCCCAGATAACGGCGGCAGACCTCCATCTAGGGGATGGTTTTGCTTACCACTCCGATAACAAAATACACTTCAATACATTCAACTTAACACATGCCAACGGAGACGTTGCATAAAAGCTCAAGATATTAAAAAGTTACTTTTTTTTATATTTTTGCATTTATTTATTAAGTTATGGTTCCTTCTGTCTCACACTATTATCTAAATATATTACATAAAATGTGTGTTCTTTAACCAAAAGCACCTGGTATTACTTTTATAATATTAAGTTGCTAACTAAAATTATCAATAGATAGAGTTTTCAAATCTCTCTTAATTTACGATAGTGTACCATCTCCATTGCACTGTTTGACCATTTCGATAGATTTATTAATTGAAAAAAAAATTTAAATAAAAGGTGTTAATATTTTTAACGTTAAAAGATTACCTTCTAAAGAATTAAATTTAATCCTTGTAATTATAAATTATTATGTTTATAAAATATCGGCTTAACAGTTCTCAAACGTGTGTTAGTTCTATTTTTTCTACCATCGGTCAATGTTTATTACTTATACTTAATTATTATTACCTAATTTTTGAATAATGGAAAAGCATAACTGGGGGTAAAATTATAAATTAAATTATATGATTGAACAAATCAGAAAAATGGTATTCTTGTATACATTTTACTCGTACGGTACATAATGTGTAAATTTTCGTTCCAAAGTTCAATAAAAAAAGATAAATAAAGAATAACATTCCTTTTATAATTTTCCATTAATTAAAATATAAAAACTATATTATTATTATTATTATAAAAATAAAATTCACACTAAGTATAAAATTATCTGGCACTTAATAATAATTGTAATAAATAAAACGCATGTGTTTTATTCCGTAATAACTTACTAGATATAATTATTTTTATATACATATAATTACAATCAACTATTTTTCTTTTTTACTTTATTCGTTTATTATTTTTATGACATTAGTATTAATAATTATACTTTATATTGATCCTAATCGCAGTGTGGTGTATTTATGTGAAATCCTCAAAATTGTACCAAACGTCCAGTTCTTGTTGCGATATTGTGTTCAATATTGAATTATGTACTTTCAAAATTTTATTATAGATTAAAAATGTTATCACATTGATAGGTATGTACAAACTTGATACATACCATATCATATGAAAAGAAACTTGTTTAGTGTTGCGAAATTGTAATGGACATTGTGATTATATTACAGAAACCTATTAATGTTTATTATATATAGAGAGAGTATTGTATTATTAACTAAAATTATCTAAGATTATTATAATGAAACATAAAGTATTGTATTTAAAAGTTATACTACAGCTATTGATGTAGTATAAATTTATATTATATAGAAAACTATTATTGAATCCATGACTTGTATTTTAGATTTACCTATGCATATAACCTACTTAATTAAAAAAAAGTGTACTGTGTTATCACTTCACGATCTTCATTGGCCTTATTTTTGTGGCATCCAATTGATGGGTTACTAGAAGAATAATTTTGGTGATACCCGAAGAAGTCGAATCCTCTATCATTGCCCTAAAAAATGTCATATATTATGTGTACACGTTGTGACTTGTGCATAAAACCCGGTAGCCATTGATGCACACACTGTCGTTTGAAAAACAACCGTGTGCTTTGTACGTGACAATCGTAGAACTCTTTGGTTCGTCAACGATATTTGATCACCACGGCTGACGGAAAACCGTGTCTTCCAAATGGATTCTAACAGTGAAGACTTGGGCCATCAGAGGTGTACAGGGTACTTAGGTCGCGTTCGACATTGTACCATGTCCTACATTATATAACGCGATAATGACGCGGCGTCGAACAAAAGAGTATGTAAAAACGAAGAGAAAAAAAACAAATAAATATAAAAATGTTTTATCGTTGCAAACATTTTCCCAAACACGGTTTCCGCATGGCACCGGCAGTCGGTGGTGTGCGTGTAAGGGGAAGACACGGCGGTTTTATGACTAATAAACATCACGACGCAAACGTAATTTACGGACGCACAAGAAGAAGGGACTGCACATAGCGGTGGCTTTTCGGAGGGGCATAATGAGGCGCGGTAGAGGTGAACCGTTCTACATTATGTATGCTCTCTTGACGTTTGTCGCCGTCGTGTAGGGTTGTAAAAGTGACAACATTTTATTCATCCCGGCCGTCGTCATTTTTACAATATTCTATTTTTTTATAATTTTTATTTTCGTCCCTTTCTTTTTTTGTTTGCGACTAATATTATGTCGGAACAATTCGCCAGTTAATGTGAAAGAACCCTTCGTTTTTATTAACGAACGTGCTATGCATCGCTATGTACCGTAAAACATAATATTGTTATTAAACACCGTTTGTTTGATATTCCCGGGGCACCGATGTTTAATAAGAGCCGGCAATGTTGAACGCGTGTGTGGCCGACCAATGTTTTTTCTCTCGGTAAAACAATTATGTGTGAAAAAGTGCGTGTTTTTCCTTAGATCCGATCCATGTTGTGATGATGATGCTCTAAAATTTAACGCCTAACCTATTCCGACGGTATTCTCATCCGGTTTTGTATTACCAAACGCCTTGCAATTTTCTAAATTAAGACTTGATATTCAAAAAAGTTGAACGCCCACACATGATGATTTTATACTAATTATCATAGATTTGTTGACTTTGCAATCAATGCTCTCGGTCGGTACTTGTATGTTTTTGTACTATAATTTATCATTTCGATATTATAACTTTTCCTAGTCGCATGTTATTAATGGGCTCAATTACATTTGTCATTTATTCACGTTACGCTATTTTTTGTCTATAGTTTGCAAAAAAGCAAACGCGAAACCATTTGTCAGTCAATCCTGGCGCCTAGACTTCAATGCAGTTATCTTAAAATATTTATCTAATAATAAAAATTAGCTTTAATTAGATTAAATTTCTTCGTACAGTATGATTATTAACTAAGCCATTCGATTTATTATAGTCTCTCGGGTCTGTATTTTGTAGAATATAATTTCATTGAACCTCTTAACCGGAAGATAAATTCCTTTGCATATCATCTTTTTTTTTTTTTTAGAGAGAGAGAGAAAAAAATAGAGACTGTAAGTATTTGTTTTTTCTACACTTGACACAACATATAAAAATAATATAAATTTGAAAATTGTTTATTTTTATATTTTTTTCTGGCTATAATTCAAGTCGGTAATAATAATTATATATTTTTTACACGCGTCTGTCGTACATTATATTTTCATATTAAAACTTTTTTTGTGACTAGTAATTAGTTTTTTTTTTTTAATTTATAGGTACTTATGTTAATCAAAATGCATTTATATGTACAACAAGTATATATTATCTAAAAATACCATGCAAATATGACAAGAAATTAGCGATGGTTATTTGATTTATTAATCGCAGAATTTAAGCATGAAAACGTTAATAAATTATATTTTAATTTGCAGTTGAAACACATATCTCAAATTAAAAATGTAAAGATATAAAATTAAAGTTTATGTCCATCAAGTGCAAATAATAGGAAAAAATACATTATTTAATTTTGGATTTAAGAATATGCTATTCATGTTTTATGCCAATAGTCATATGAAACCTATTTAACATATTATTTACATAATGAAGTTTAATTAATAAATTAAAAGTAGTTTTACTATTATGTTTTTAAGTTTAAAAAAGTAATATGGTTACATTACCCAGAAAATAATTTTTGACTCGTAACAATTTCGATGCTGTGTAAACTATAATTGTTATTTAAAATGATGAAATTCAATACATCTCAATAGTAAATCGTTTTATTATAAAATTTGATACCGAATTAATTTTACTTTTAATAGCATTGTTCTTCACCCCTTACATCTATATAAACCTATAAGAGGATTTAATTCTGATTGCTGTTTGTATGTTTAAATAATAAACAAAAGTTTTTAAGATACCCTTTAAAAAGTATAAGTTTAATGTAAGCAGATTTGAAAGGAAATCTGTTATAAATCAAGTCCTTACACTAAATATAATCTCTTGTTTAACAAATAGCATAATACTAAAAAGATTTTTTTTTTTTTTTTTTTGAGAAAAGTTAATGCGTAGAATTTTAAAAATCTCTTCAATATTGGGCATTGTATATGTTAATATAAATTATTTTATTATTTATATCGTTAGAATATTCTTATAAATCTATATTTGGCATTTATTAGCTCCATTAGTTTATTTATTGTATTTGTTTGCATGAGACGCATATTTTTCTATTATTATTTTACAGCTTAATTAGCTACACAACTGAAAACTATGTCTTTAATTAAAAGTGAACAAAATATATAAAAATTGATATTAATATACAAAGTCCTGTTGAAAACATTTTAAAGTGACTATTTTAAATAAAATAAAGAAAGAACATAAGTGTGTTAGATAATTACTCTAGGTTTTAGCATTTAAATCTATTAATAAATTGAAACAGAACCATTTATTACTCTTTTGTCCTATTGAAATATATTTTTTTATGAACCCTAATCATCCTTAATAATTTTTTTTCTGTTACTACATTAATTTAATATTCCTTTTATTCATTTACTATTAAACCAATTTTTAATTTGAGAAAAACGCGTAGTCTGAAAATGTTCAGTTAAAATAAAAAGAAAAAAGACAACCATTTAACATTAAATATTCTTAGGGTGCATAATTTATATCAATTTCTATGGCACACGCACCAATATATAATAAGTTGTAATAATACAATAATAAAGTTAAAAAAAAAATGCGATAAATGCCATTTTAGATTTATAATACAATAGCTATTATTGTAACAAAGTGCTTAATATTTGATTGATTTTATCAGTTTGATCATGTGAGCATTCAGTTTACAAGTTCATCATGTGTTATACATAATATCATACATTATTACACCGTTAAAAGGTTTTTATGCCGTTCAAATATTGTGTTGTACTATTACTTACTGCTTGCATAAAGAACATGAACAAAGAAACTATCAATGGCAATGCAATTTGCATTTATTTTTCTTCAGGTGCACTCGTTCAACTACAAAATGTATCTACCTACTAACACACCTACTTGAAATGCACCGGACAATAAAACTCATTGCTACAAGGTCAAATATTCCAATTTTTTATTAACCTAGACTAAGTAATTAAATCAGTTTACACTGGCTAATGTAGTGTTTTTAATTATCGATGTAAAACGTGGTGCACTTGTACTTATAATTTTTACAACGTAGACCATGCCACATATATTATTATATATTAACTGTTATCTATTGTTCTTTATTTTCTTCGGTTTTATTTATATAGGATAGTTACTTGTACTTTCAAAAAAATATTAACCAATTCTACTGATATGAAATCAAAAGAATTTTTGATTGAAAAATACATACAAGACATTTATGATATTCTCAATATTATACATGTTCGCTAGGTGACCTTCAAGTTAATTTTCACATTTACCTTCATGATTGTTAATTGGTGTCTAATGATTTTTAGAAGGTTTAAATACGATCAAGTTCGCCACGATTCTTATGTGTGTATTTAAAGTAGGCTTTTTGTAATATTGGACGTCAAATGGTTATTGATACTAATTCACGGTTACACCGGTCCAGGGTCAGAATATACCTACATGGGTCCTGGGGCGGTACCTTATGAAAAATATTGTTACTATAAAAAAGTGATGAGCAAAACAAAATCTCGAAAATCTGTATGTCACTAGTCATGACAGGCTAATAAAATTTGTGATGAGCCCTTGGGTCCCGGGGCGTTCACCCCCTCCCCCTTAATCCGATGGTCAGTTACGAATAAATATTAGAACAGGTTTTTTTTTATATTATTACAATATGTGAATTAATTTTCATTCTCATGGGCTTTATTAGAAAAACTTGTTTTTTTATAAGTAAATATTTTTTATTGTATACCCACAATTCAATATTAATCTAATTTTTCATAGTTTTGTAATTTAATATTCTAGTTCGTATCTATTTTCAAGAAATCGTGTGAATCATCAACATATTAGAATTCTTATACCTAAATTAAAAAAAGGAAACATTCTATCGAGCATTCTTATAAAATAAAGGCAAATAGCTTAGTAATATAAAAATGTGTGATATATGTGGATATTCTTTACTTTAACTTATTTTCTCACAACTCGGTAAAATTATTTTGCAGAATCCTCTGTAATCTTCGTCCATAATAGTTGCGAGTTATAAATATCTACATTTTTCTCGGAATTGAAATCCGAATAAAATGTTTAATAAATAAAAATATGTATAAGAGTAATTAATCATTCTGATAGCCTACTCGTGTTACCAGATAGTCGAAGAGAAAATTCACAATTTATCATAAAATATAAACAGTCAAAATATTAATATTTA